ATCCAAAACGTCATTGCATCTCGCGAACTTTCCCACCTAAAATTTACGACTTGGCACTCGCAAGCTCACCGTGGAATAGCTACTCTGTAAAATAAAATATATATCTATATAAGCGCGCGCACACACATGCATAAATGCACACGCGTTAGTAGTGTAGTAACGCTCGCACCCTTTGCAGCTGACGCATAGCTTGCTAAATAGTATACTATGCGCTACGGGCGCAGAGTCACATGCCACCGAGGCACTGCTTTGCAGAGTCGCGTACAGCTCGCACACTCAATTTTCTCGGTGAAGTAAAAATAACGAAAAAAAGAGGAAAAAAAACTGTTACAGTTAATCGAGCGGCATATGCGAGCTAGCGCGCGCGTAAACTGCTATACATATGTGTATCCATCAAAGCGTCATCATAGTTATCGAGTCGAGCGAACTCTCTCTCTCTCTCGATCAGGGCTAATTTTTATTTTGCCGCCCCTTATCGATTGCTTTTGTGACCGTTGATCGAGCTATCATTATTGCGATCGGCTCGATCGAGTCTTTATAGCGCGCGCATTTCTAGTACACGGCGTATTTAACGATGAATAATGGCGCGCACGAATGTCATTTGGCGCGAGCGCGCGCGTAGGCGTAGAATGAAAAGCTCTCGTTTGGAGACTGCGAGATTCATTTCAATGCAAACTGCGATAACGTTAAATTCGAGTGAAATTATCCAACGCAAATAAATAGGCGCGGCGCCGATCGAGTGCGCGCTGCATCGCACATATTTTGACTATTATAGATAATATCGAACTTAATTAAAATTTTTGGCATCGGGGCCAAATATCCAGAGGTGGATTTCAAAGTACTTAGGCGACCGCGGCAGCTCAGATACTATCCGCTAATCGATGATTTAGAAATTATAATATCATTTGCGTTGCGATTCCACCATCCCGGATAAGCAATCTAGACCCAAGACTTACTTGGCTGCGTGTATATATATTATACAGTTAGCTAAGCTATTTCAACAACTATGTTAGACTCGCTCTGCCTTTATGTACTTACTTGGGCTAAAACTAAGCGATATTTCGAAGCATTATACGATTAAATTTTGATATTTTCATACCTTAATAATGAGCTTATAACGTCGGATACGAGTGTAATGAATATCTTATCATTCCAGCCATAATCTTCGTGCATTTTTTACTTTCTCTGTAGAGAATTATGCGAGAGCAAAACGATTTTTACATTCGATTCGTATCCTAAAATATTGAAGGAAAGTCATGAAATAATGAAAATTGCAGTGAATTTCTACAAGCTAATTTCGAAACGTATTGAAAAATAAAACATTTTTACATGAAAGCAAAGGCTGACACTTCAAAAGTGTATCGCGTGGGCACACACGCGCAACGCAGTCATTTAATTCCGGAAGCAATATTCAGTAACGTCCTCTTAATGGATCATTACTCGGGCAGAATGAAAATCGATAATCAATCGACGATCTATGGCACTATGTACGTATTTACATGGAGGTGTGTATATATAATACACATATGTGTGAAATATACGGGGTCATGTGTGCGAGTTGGACGATGTAGTTAGCCTTGCAAGTGAGAGATTGAGCCCTCGCGTGTAAGAGACAACATTAACGGTCGCTCCAATATTTATAGTACATTCGAATGACTCGTGTTCGTCTATATAACTTCACACGGTATGAAAAAGTATTTGAATGTGATTTTGTTCGGTTTGGATTACCTCATGGATGCTACTTTGTTTGCAGTAACTATTTTGAATCTGCGCATCGTTAAAATGTAAATGCTGCATATAATTACAAATATAATAAATTATTCATTCGATCGTCATGGGAAATAATAAAAAATTTGATTTTTAATATTTCTATTCTTTTTGCGGTTGCGATAAAAGCCCTCGGGCAATCGTTGAATTTTTCGCCTCCTGGTTTTATTAATATGATTAAACTGCACATAAGTTTACTCTTGTTAAGTTATTCGATTATTGACCCCTGCTTGGAGAAAATGAGATTCATAGTTACAATAAAAAAATTTGAAAAAACATAACGCGTCATCCATTGAAAAATGACTGAAAAATAACTCAATTTATTACGCTGCGACTTTCCGCTGAAAATAAACTGCCACGCTGGATATTGACATCGATGTTGCCAATCTGCATCTTTGCGTATTTGCCTTCAACTGCGATCGTCGTATAGCAGAGAGAAACACATATAGAAATTGGAATAATTAAAGTCCAAGCACGTTGGTAAATCTTGCCGGGTCCGAAATACAAGTCAGCAACATCGATGCGCCCGACAGGCTACAGGCTCTTAGCTGCAGGGAGCTCTGCCGCTGTGCCTGCAGGCCATCGAATATGAGCACACCTCTTGCTCTCCCTCTCGCACACTCTCAGGACTATATCTCTCTATATATGAGATTTACATATTCATGTTTCGGAACTGGAGCTCTGGCTGCTGGAGCATTATATAGTGGTGGAGGTGCCGAACTTTGGAGACTGTTTTCCTCTCCTTCGATCGAGCAACCTGTAAGATAGCTATATACGCACACACAGTCGCACACGTACACGTAAACGCAGGCATCGAGGTGCGAGTTTATAACGCGAACAATGTCACCTTATCCTCGTACTTATATGACTTGGGCGTAGTGGTATACGGCACCAGTTACATCGTCGCATGCGCGCGCCGTATTAATAAAGTTTTCCAAACGACCATCAACTCGGGTGCATTTTCCATATAAACAAATGACCCAGTGAGGTCTTTCAGCGCGCGAGTAATAAATTATTGAGCGCGTCGAATGTGTGTTACAGCGCTGTATATATATATACGCGCCCGAGCCCAGGCAGTTGCAGCTGACACTTTATATTGTTCGCTATTGTAATATACTCGGCCTTTCATTATCGCGATGCCCTCGGCGTGCGCGAATTGCAAAGATTGTTTGACTTCGTTTCAGTAATGACGTCTTTTTTTGTTTATTTCAACATTTTTTTTTCTCTCCTCTCTGCGCAAAATATAATAATGCGTGCCGCACGAAGCGGAGCAGAGCAGAGCTTCGTGTGCGTATATAATGGCACGGGAAGGGTGATGATGTTACATGCACACGCGCGGAGGATCGGTTTTCAGCCGACGTTATGAATTTTTCACGGCGCGCGCACGTAACAAGATGAAAGGAGAAGAGGGATGAATTTATGTTTGTACAATATCATTAAAAATGTCTTATAGCTACATACGCACGCTTCAGACGTTGATCATGTATATTTTTATCCAATAGAATTCCGCTGAGCAACGTAAACTGGAAATTCTCAATCCGACGCGTTATTTTATCAGCGGATACGTGCTCGACGATTAACATGCGTGTTTACAAGAACGAGCTGTAAGCGAAATTCAAAGATTTCCTTCGATCGCGTAGTACATGCAACTATACGAAACGAAGTTTTAAAGAAAAAAAAGGATGTTTTATTCTTTGCCTCGCGCGAGATGCAAAGTCAGCAAATGCTACGCCAAGCGCATTGCCATAGTGTAAAGCGTGTGCAGTAGTTGCAGTACAGTACGATCGTGCCGCGCCGCAGCGCATACCGAGCTTGCAAGCTCGGGAAGCTTTCTTTATTCCTCGCGTATAAAAGCTCGGCCGTGTATACAATATATTCGCGCGCGTGTGTGCGAGTTGGTCGTGGATAACGAGAGGAAAAAGCTAGACGAGCGAGCGCAGGACATAAGATGCGTTATCGGCGCGATTTCAAGCGGCAGCAGCAGCAGCAGCAGCAACAGCGGCAACTGTTATATTATATACGTCGTAGGATGTTGTATGTGTGCGGTACTCGTACGGTGCGCAGGCAGTAACAGTATAGCCGCGAGTCCAGGTCAAGCTTATATTGTTACGATGATAAGGAGCTGCAGCAGCAGCAGCAGTAGTAGCTCCGCAGCGAGCTCGTAAAGTCCTGCACGCACACGACCTCGGGCTCGTCACCGACTGCGCGTGTATGCGCCTGCGGTGTAACGTTCAAAGGGGGAATATAGTGTATATACCTAGTTTTTATTTTTACGCATAATTTATATGTAGCAGCGAGCACATGGCCAAGTAATAATATTTAAATTGATTCGGAATTATGTCGTAAAAGAAGCAATTGCCCCCTAGTAGTTTAAAACGAATAAAAGTATATAGCAAATATCGCCCAGGTAGCATAATTTAATTCATTCTCATCGCAACTCGTGAATCCGATGACTGTTAAATTATACGTATCATCGAAACGCACCGAATGAAAAAAATAATCATATTCGCGAGTAAATAAATAAGCGATGAATAATAATTACAAAGTATGGCAATGATAATAACGAGAGGCTCCTCGGGTCACATGCGCGATACAATGCGCGTCCGACGACGCGATGGTTTACACGAGCGTTAAAACAAACGCGGCGCAAGCTGCTGCTGCACCTGCACCTATACACGCTAATATATCCAATTAACGTTTACATTATTGTAACGTTGTCGGGAGAGATCTGCAGACGGCAACGACGCCAAAGCACAACAACAGCAGCAGCAGCTCGCGCAGTATATTATCTGGTGCGCGCGGAGCTCTCTGAGCTGCATCAGCCTCTCTATATATAGGATGTATTCGCGAGCGATGCTAAACTATAACCCACACGCGCTCGCTCGCACGAGAGTATGCCTACTCGTGATACCGACGCAAGCTCGAGCTCTCTTGCTTTCTCTCTCGGGCGAGCTGCTGCTGTAGCTGCACGAGCTGTGCCTGTGCTTGCCTCTTCTCTCTTTCTCCCTCTCTCTCTCTCTCTCTATATATATATATATAGCTTCGAATAATTAATCTCGATTGTCGCTTGCAGCAGCGAATATGGCAGCTGCACTACGCGCGCGTACGCCTATATAGATGTGCACCGGCTCTGCGGCTATTTGCATACGAGCATATACCTGTACCTATATATGTATATATGCATCGCTCACACAGACACATGCACTCAACGCACAACCCCTTGACTGTTTCAGGTCGTCGCTGCTGGTGCTCCTCGTCCTGCTGGCCTCGCACGTGATAGATATCCAGGCCCGACACGTAAGTTACAATATATGTCTAATCATCGCATTATAATTTGTTTCCTCCTTTTATAACGGCTGCGTTATGTAATTTGCACCGACGTGGATAATCGAATGAGCTGCCGGTACATCGATCGCAAAATATATGTACCAGTAACTTTTGCTGCATTTCATAATTTCAGCGGCAGTATAAAATTATAATGATCGTTAATTGCAAACAGGCAAAAGTTATTTGATCTTCTTGTATTGTACGTGAAACTATACCAAACAATGATCGAATAATTTCATTCATAGAGTATCATTTTCTACATTAACTTTATGGTATTTCAAAGATTTTGGGACATTTGCATGAGTTTTCTATTGCTACTGGCAGTAGGGGTCGAATGTTCAAAGTTCAACGGGATCAATTGATCAAATTACAACCACTGTGATTGCAAGAGCGACTTTTTACGAATAATTGACGAGAAATTTCAGAACGCTCGAGAAAAAAAGCACCACGAGTTGAGAGTGATTTTTTAGATTATAGTCAAATTTTCAACTATTGAAATAACGTTGGTCGCCTTCGGCTGAGGCTCCATTTATACATCCGTGATATACGCTCACGTGATTTCCGAAATATTGTCTTCGAGCGATTTTCTACGGCATGTCAATGGCCTTTAAATTAAGTTAATTATAATCGGGCTTGAGCAACTCAATGTACAATCACAGTTGCATTTTTATACACGGCTGAACATTCTTTAATAATAATGCTGTCGCCATTATCGTCCAATTAAGAAAAATCATGTACTCGCATAAAAAAGTACGAAAGCCTGCGGCGAAGTACGCAATAATATACATATAATGTCCACTTTGAGGCACTCGTAACACCGTACCTCGGCTTGTATATAATATATTATACACTACTGATTAAAAGTTTTTCCTTCTGGTCACAGCGCGCGTTACCACCGCGTCTACGTGTTATTCGTCAATCCTGGAAATACAGTTTTTCAAAAAGCCTTCCACTTTCAAAGTGTATGTGTACGTGTACGTGTACGCTCGCTCGTTTAATCCGCTTGGATTAAAGGAAGCTTAAAAGCATCTTGCAAGCATTTCCTATGTATGTATTAACGCGCGCGCACGCACGCCATGTGATATAAAGTTTTTCCGCACTGCGTTTATTATACGAGCGAGAGAGAGAGACGAGGTTGCTTGGCCTCAAGCCTGAAGGGGGGTAAAAAAAAAATACCCAGAGAGACAGAGTAATAATAATTGCGAGAAAAAATTCATATACGAGTAAGATTCGCGAGCGAGAGAAAAAGAAAAGCAGTAGATAAAGCAAGTGCACTGCACTCTTGATGGGTCATTTTTATTAAATTTCATCCCACTCGAGCTTTGAGGCCTGCCGAGTGTGCGTTGCGGCCACCGTTCAAGATGATTCTTTGATAAAGACGACTTTGAGAAAAAAAACCAAGTACCCGTAGAACAAAGCAGTCGATTTTGGTTTAAAAAAACTACACCGATCTTTGATCTTTATATCGTAAAGAAAACTCGAACGTATGAGCAATTAATTGGTGGCGATAACTTTTAACGAGGAACTATTTCTGTTTTTTTATACTCTCCCTATTTGCAAAAAGATTCCTCCGTAACAAAAGCTATTCGACCTTCAGACAACTTGTCTGTTATCTGTGATGAGGGCACGAAACGCGAGGCGTCGGAAATATCGCAAGCCTGACAAAATGGCTCGAGGCAATCGTTGTCACGATAAAAATCTCGACGTTCGTTTAAAAGAAAACACGTGCTCGCCAGCGAGGTAGAGATATAGGGCCTTTGTCCCCGGAGCAAGTGTGTGCGTAAAACCGTCCAGATTCTCTCTCTCTCTCTCTCTCTCTCTCTCTCGCGGGCGCGTCTGGTAGACTTCTGCGAGCTATTACACAGTCGTAACCGTATATATAGATCACAGTTGATGGATGCGAGGCGAGCACGAGAGAAAAGCGAACCGGAGCCTGTTTACATAATTGAGAGTGAGCCGTATTTGACGATCCGTCGAGGTGCGCAACGAGCCAAGCGTCTGCCCGAGCGATGATATACAACTGCGCGCGTGCGGCGCTTGACGAATGGAACCAAAGAGTGTGAGAACTGTAAACTCGTGTCTACAAAAATCATGATGATTTTTGCGCGAGGTCAGGGCTGAAGGAGATTCGCAACTGGTGTAAATGAAAATTAACATATAGTAAGGAATTTCCATTTTTTAAACTGCATCGATAGTTTGTGATCTTGTGATCTTGTCAATGAACAAAAGATAACCATTCAAAATGTTTTAAAATAAATTATCATTAATTAGATTAGATTCGACGATTTTCTGTGATAGTTATGTTGCAAAAAGCATTTTAAAGTACTTGAACTTAACAATTTTAATGTTTTAAAAAAGACTAGATTCCTCTAACTTTTATAAGATAATACTACTCTAAGATTTCACCATTAGATGGCGAGTACCTTTATCGTCAAATCTGCATCTGGCAAAGTCAAAATTACTGTATAAGTCAGAGCACGGTTTCAATAAAACAAATTTCTGTTTTTTAACACGAGCAAAAAAAGTTTGAACATTTTTCTGCATTCCATTATTGCCAGACAATCCTTTGCAAAGTCTCATTCTCGAGCTTTAACAAAGATTTTCAAGGAAATATTGTCGATCGATAAAAAAAAAAGTATCTCAGATTGCTGAGCATATTTGAAATAGTATAAAATTTCCAAGGAAGTTTATATACACACGGAGCAAGAAGCTTCTAAATAGCCGAGAATCTCCGAAGGTGGAAAAAAGTTACTGACAGTGAAAAAAAATGAAGCATACAGTTGCGGAAGCTTTAGCCTTTTTTTCGTGTTAAACTTGCTCGCACAACAGCGGATAGACTCGCTTGATCTAAAAGTTAAGTGGTCGTCGTCATCTTGATAGGTTCGTGCTGCTGCTTTTTTCTCGCTTCGCTTCTTTCTCCTTTTTTTTCTTTTTCATTCTCTCCGCCTCGTGTAATTCCGGCGCGTTGCTGCCGCCGTTACACTTGTACGCCCGAGCTGCGAAAAATTTGATCTCGTCTAGCTGCTGCTGTTGCTGCGCCTCAAGTTGAAAGTTCGAAGCTTTCATGGTGTATTATAAACACGTTACTAAAATTGACATGACAAATAAGATTAAACGGTGCAATCAAAGTTTTTTAGGTTAATGAATAAATTCCTGTAAAATTGCAATATCGAACAGTCGATCGAATTGACATGCCTCGAATAAACGTCATATTGAACGTTTGATCGTCGCGCCGAGGCAAATCGTTAATGCGCGCAGGAAACGCGTCCACAAAATCCTACGCGCACAAGTACATATATACATATCGCGTGTAACGAGGAAAAATAAACGAGCTCCGGACCGCGTACGAGTCGAACGAGCCCGCGATGAAACGAGACTTTCATAGCCGTATCATCTTTGCAGATTACGCTTGACGAGTTTAACAATGTTCCGCGTATATATATCCATAGGAATTGTCGAGCGTTATATATATAGCTGCGCGCGCGCGCGACAGTTAAAGTCAGACACAGAAGTGCAGTGAGGCGTGTAAAGTCATTGCCACGCATCGCGTGTCCTCTGCCTCGCAGCAGCGGCGGCGGCGGCGCAACGTCACGGCCAATTGCTCTTTGCTTTGGCGCGCGCGTTTACTATATACCTACCGTGTGCACGAGGCAAGGCAATGACAGACGTCTGTGAATCGGTTATATAGCCTATGCCTGCCTGCGTGCGAGCTCTCAACTTCACTTTCGCTGCTGCTGCTGCTGCTGGAGCTTGTTTCAACGATTACCTTATACACGAGCGACACGCGTCCTTATTTGTGCACGAGCCTCTGCAGTACGAGTGCGTGTGTAACCGGCTTATCGATTATGCACCGTGACGTACTCCGTGCGCCGCGAGCGGTTATTGACGTTAACGATTATATAATGCGAGGAAAAAATATAACAACTGGATCATGCTTATACCAGCCGGGAGGCATACCGACTATTTTGCACTATAGCCACGAGATTCTGAAATTTTGGTCACGGCGAAATAATTTCTGTGCAAGCTCGAAGAAAATTGAACGTCTCGTGCGCGTGAAAGGATTTTCAGTGGGCACAAAATTATATGAACTTCTGAATCGGACGAAATGTGAGCCGCCGTATATATATACGTATATATAGTACAAAGTCTCGAAATTCACAAGTCATTTAGCTTGTAATAATTTACGCGACCGATAACTCGAGAGCAGCAGCAGCAGCAGTGCTGCAAGCGCTCAATGGCATATACAGCACTCTTTGCTGCAGCGGGGCTCTATTGTGCCGAGGCGTGTGCGCGCGCGAGCTTCTGCGTGAATTCATAATAATATATAATCAGATTTTCAGCTGCGCGCACGCCATAGACTCGAGGCGCACAAAGAGAAAGAGAAGTACTATATACGGCATGGGGCGTTAAATTAGAATATTTCAAGACGTTCTCGCGTCTTATTCAAATATTGCACACACACACACACACTTATACACACTTTGACGCGCTAAATGAGGATAGGTATAAATTTCTAATCGAGCGGCAAGTAACCGAAAGCGCAATTTTCATCGCGTGCTTTGGGGAAATTTGTCAAAAATTCAATTTTCAAGGGTGATATCGTTCGGAGCTTGCGCATCTCTATGCGCGTGTACCCGATCGCGTTGATGCAATGAAAAGTTACAATACTCGCTGGCGTACAATACACTGCACTTTCATATACAGCCTGTACGGTTGCGCGTGGTCAGCTGCCTTGTGTCATTTCCATAATAGAAATAAAACGAAATAAACGGAAAAGGAAAAACTTGTGAATGCAGGCGAAAAGGCTCGAAACACGTCACCGGTACATAGCACAGTGCGTTTTGTACTTTTGCTGCTGTTGCTGCTGCTGCTGCTGCTGCGCCATGTCGCGCTATTCAGCTGTTTCATCGTTCGCAATATAAGTGCTCTGTATAGCGCACGAGGCAGCTGTACAGAGTCTAGAATACAGTACCAGTAAGCGTAAGCTCTATGCGTATGTACGAGCTCGTACGAGCGTAACGCGCCGAGTTCAATTGCGCACATGTTTGATAGCTCCGCAGAGCTCCTCTTCTCTGTTTCGCGTATAGTGCACGAACGAAAAAAATAAAAGAGTCGTAGCGGAGCTACCAGGCAAAATAAGTTCGTTGGCCTTTTGCTCAAACGCATATCCATATAATAGGAGCATCGCGAAATATCGTAGAGAGGCCAGACGCGCGTGGTATGTCGCGCATGATATCGCAGAAGATACGGAGCAGCAGCAGCGGCGACACACGTGCTGCTGCGCGCTATAGTCACGAGCTCGGGCGAAACGAATGTCTAAGCTTTTTTTCCGGGCGTGTAGGATAGGAACATCCCGAGAACATGTGCTCTCCCACGCGTTCTTTGCGCGAAATAAAAATCAGCGCATACAGCTGTTACGCCCCGCGGCCTCATGCCACCGCACTCGAGTATAGCATTCGTATGATGGCAATACGTTACACCATCTCGCGCGCGTGTGCGTCTAGCTTTTCTTACATAATAATGATCGATTCGTGGACTTTGACGCAAGGTTAGCCCCGCGAGCATCGTATAGAAGTGCCCATGGTTATCTCCAAGTCTACGACTCGCTGTTCTCTCGGCCGTAATGATGCGCGCGAATGGGATAATTAATGTACGCGCGCAGCCGCAGCGAATTAGCCTCTATATGCGCTTTGAATGCGCTGCGCTGCGCATCGGCTGCGTGGGGGGTCTACATAAAGTAGAAATTAATGCCACGACGAGTGCGATTCGCGCCTCGACCTATCCTCATTGTTTCGCGGCGCGTTAATTGATTCGGATTTATTGTTTATTCAATAACTCTCGGCGCGCCGCTCGACTTTCAATTGTTGTGTACATAATATTTGCATAAGCAGCGCGAGAAAACCGTTTTGTTCGATCGTCGCGCAGACTTAAAAGACAAGTCATATCGCTGCACGTTTACTCGCGACGATAGAAGCCTTAAATATAGAAACATTTTGATTTTTCACCGCTAGGACTTCTCTTGTATTTGTAATACAAGGACTTCTCTTGTACTTTTATAAATACATTGCGGCCAACAATGAATATATCGGGCAAAAATACCTCCTCTCACGTACTATCGAAAGAAAAGTGAGCGCCGGTCGATTTTCAATGGAGATCGCTTACGCCTAAAGTATTTCGTGTAATCTACGCTCAAAGAGTCAGATATCATGCATACTAACCACGATTAGTCAAACGTACAATTCATACACTGTTAAAATAAATCATAAATTCAATTCAGATTAAATGTTCAAATAAGAAATTTTATTTCAAGTACTTTTACATGAAATCCTCGTTGAGAATTAATGAATCAGATTTATTTTTAAGATACTACACGAAAATGCATGAAATTAATATTATGATAAAATCAAAAATGAACAAACAAATTTAATTCTGTAACTAGGTTAAACATTTCGATTGACTGTAAACTATCTTAAACGTCAATTACTCAAGACCACAATTAAATTCAGCCTCCACCACTAGATGGCGAATACCTTTATCTGCAAATCTACAAGTGAAATATGAATGTATGTGTATAAATCAAGTTTATTAAATGTGTCGTAACAACTAAGGATCTTCGCGATGGACGGTAGAGCAATATCTATAGCTCCACCAAGCCACCTTTTTTCCTCGAACGCCTTACGAATAGGGAAAATGACGGGTTTGATGGTGTCAATCGCGAATCATCCTCTCCAGAAGTCATACTCAAAGCGCTGTGTCTTCGTCAGTTTTACTGTACCTTATTAATTTGAATGATTTTATGTAAATTTGAATTGATCTAAGTCACAGTAAAGAACTACATTAATTTTTACGTTAACTTTAATGTAAATATTTTTAAACATCTTTACTACCAACATTTACCTAAATATCAAAGAAAATATATCTTCATGAAGAATCCTATCTAGAGAAGTTTACCATCGGCATTTCCCTGGTGTACGTTATGTATAGCAAAGGCGCGTGTCAAACTGTTTTGGGCAAGCGCCAAAAAGAGGCCATTCATTGAAACATTGCGCGCATATACACAAGCGGTTTGTACCATTTGGGTGGAAAATTAGTAAAGGGCTTCTCTCGAGCCACGCGTATCATAATGGACTTTTACGTATAAGTTGTATCGCAAGCTCGCGCGCACATGAGATAAATTCTCATTTTCCTTTTTGGCCAGCGTTTCTTTTTCTATTTACGCTCGATGTAAAAATTTAACATCTTCGTTTTTTGTAAATCGTATTGTTTAGTCGCAAGGACAAACGCATATCAAACGCGGCTGTGAGAACGATTCTCGAAGTAGGTCGCATCTGAATCCATTGCACAATACTTAGTCGCGAGCGATAACAATTACTCAAAGGGAAAGCGTTGCACGGCACGTGAGCCGCGCTTATTACTGCCAGTAGCATTACCGATAAAAGCCGTTGCGTCACAGATACGCTATGGCAAATTGAAATAGAAAAATTACCCGTGACTCGCCGACTCCGTTAATTGGGAAAAAATAACGTAACCTTGATCCTTTTTTTTTCTCTTTATGTTCGCAGCACCACAAACTGAGACATGGCAGGCACAGGCGTCAACACGGCGAATCGTACGCACCGGAAAATTTCATCCTAGAGAGCGAGGAGCAGGAGAGCGGCAACTGGGGCCCGTGGTCTCATCCAAGCCCCTGCTCGAGGAACTGCGGCGGCGGTGTGCAGTACCAGACTCGCACTTGTCTCGACAAAGAGTAAGTTTTCCATCATCTTGTCTGAGTCGCTTGTATAGCGCATACACAGCCGAATTTATATGCCAGGATTCAACGTTTATTACGCGCAGCTTTGAGGCTCGACAGCCCGCTCGAAAAGCTGCCAGAAAGCTCTGCTAGCGCACTATTTGTATATACGGCAGTCGGCTTGTGGCGCGGCTAACTCGAGCTGTGCGGTTTGTTGCGCATCCGTGTGGTTTTCTATTGTCACGATTAAAATGCCTAGATTTTCGACTAAGCGCGCGCGATATCATATCCTAGAATTCTTGACAAGCGAAGTTTTGATACGCGTTGAATGTCACTGCGCGCAGCTAGTTTACTCACCGCTAATTATATATCCTATTCGTCGAAATTATTAAATTAACTTGAAAAAGTTATTATAATTTAAAATCAGAGATCGTTACATGATTTTAAAAAATACGATCCAAATTACTTGGAAAATTGTATCTACATGAGCGGACTCTTTGTCGAGTGAAAATGAAAACATCTGTAGAATATTTGCGGATGTTTGGAGTGCAGTGTGAACGAACGTTATCAACGTCGAGGAAGATATAAAAAGTTTCGGGTGAAAATTTCACGAGCGAAGCGCGCAGCGGCAAATCGTTATTCGATATTGAAACGACCCAGCCGGGGCTATACGCGGGGACATTTTTCGTGGCTATACTTTTTCTCTTATCGTCCTTTTTATTCGCTTTATTAATTCGATTCAGTCGACTTTAAACTACACGCGTAATATGCTTCTTCGGCGCCGTTAATGAAATTTTTTCTCATTTCAATAGACGCCATGCGCGAGCACCAACCGGCAAAATTCGACTTTTATCGAATTAATGTCTTTTTATTTTCCGCCAGTAGATGTAAACGTATGCATTTTCGCAATGTTTATGCGGTGTAATTTTTCAAGAAAACACCCAAGAATCAAGCTTAAAGCGTCCATTTTACTCGTGTTTTTTTAAACATTTAACGAATGAAATTTAATGGTCGTTCTCCTCGTCGCGTCTACTCGCTTTTCTTGCTCAACTACGCGCGCGAGCTAAAATAAGAAGAAAAAACCCATCCGTGCCACTTTTCACTCTCTTTTTCGCTCTCTCTCTCTCTCTCTCCCTATATTTGCAAAGACCGAAAGTGCGCGCCCGCGCACACATACTCTATTTGTATAGGTGTATACGTTGCAGAAAATCTTGAGAGAAGAAAAGCGCTTAACGTCTTGAATGACGACGTGGAGGCGATGGTAGTGGTGGTGGTGGTGGCGGCGGTGATGGTAGTGTGCGTGAGGCAGGTAAGCCTCATACACGAGTGCGTTTTACGATTTAACGGGCCGTAAAACCCGATTAGGGACACTACTCTCGTTGTCATATACGTAAAACACAAGGAAGAGGAGAGAAAAAAAGATCATCGATGTATAGCAAAGAGCCAAGCATCGCTTTTTTCGATCACAATTGATTAGTGCCTATATATTTATTTTAATTTTAATTAATAAAAGGAAATTTGTATCATGGGATGCTGAACTTTTTTTTTATTGAATTGCAGTGACAATGACAACGAGCGGTGCACGGGAGCGAAAAAACGATTCTTCTCCTGTAACATCCAGGTGTGTATTCAAATTTACTAAATGTGTTATTGTGCATACATTTTTTACTTCAATTGCGTACGAATTTTTTTTTTATTATCGTTATCATACTGAGCCATTGCATAAATATGTCGAACAAGTCTGACAAACTTTTCCAACTTCAATGAAGCCGGAAAAGAAAACGATCAAAGTAAAACGAGTTAAGAAAAATCTATTATAAGAAGCGAGAAAGAGACAAAGTTCACGCTGAATTACAATAAAAACAGCCTTGATTTACACTGTAGTGCCCGGGTCCGTTGGAGACCTTGTTTTTGACATAAACGTCTACCTTATACCCGCGCTAACATTTTTTTCCCGCCTGAAAGCGTTCACTGAAGCCAACGACGATTATGACAGCTAAAGCTTTTTGTTGTGAAGAAAGAAGTCAAGGGATATATACCTCATGGGCTGGAGGGAAGGCGCATGCTGAAAAGAACATTCGCTCTCTTGTGCCGCGCGCCGAGCTTTCTCAAAAGGCGCGCCCTGTTATACACATTTACCGTTGACGCGTTTCTTCTTCTTCGTCTTCTTAGCGCCGCGCAAAACGGAAGTTTTCAATTGAGGCGCGCGCGCATAACGTATATATTTATTACGCTAGCTGCAGTAAGACAGAAGCTTGATTGGTTTTCTTAAACGCAAGATTTACATGAAATGTGATTTCGTTTTCATCTTGGGCATTTTCTTCACAGTGTAGCGCGCCCAGCAGCAGCCAAATGAACTATTAACTCGCTCTTTGTTGATATTTCATTTATTTCTTAATAATATCGTCGTTTGATGTTATTTGATTTTCCGCGCGTGCTCTATAGCTATGATCTAAAATCTTTTACACGCGCACATTACTCGAGGTGTATGGTGTGAGTATATAAATAGATCATTAGAACATCTCATTGCCATCTGCCATTACATCGCGCATTAATATATTTATTCTACCTAACTCATTCGTCTTGAACACACAAAGACTTCTTAACTCGATTTTCGATCCCAGATACGTGTCAAAAATTTGAAGCCAAACAAACTTAGTTACTACCAAGAAGAGTTACGTCGGTTTCACGAATATATCATAATGATATCATCTGCGAACATATGGTGAACTATTTAGATAAAAATTGCGAATTGAATGTGTTGAAGGATTGAGTGACTATCTTATAACGTTGAGTTGTAATTAATATTCAACATATGCTTCTTTTCTTCTTTTCTTAATGTAACTACTTTAATAGTTCTAGTGTAGTACTTTAATACTCTTTATGGCATTCCAGAAAAAATATATCTTCTTAATAAACTTATTAAAATCGGTCAATTTCTTAAGGATAATTATGTTACAAATATTAAACGTTTTTTAAATGACTTGAAAATGAAAATTTGCACTTTGTCGAAAAAATCTAGATCGGTTTTTAACCACTAGATGGCGAGTAACTACTATCTGAAAATCTGCAAGTGACAAAGTCAAAATAATTGTATAAGTGAAAAAATTACTAGACAAAATGTAGGTATCTAATTTTAATCCCTATAAAAATAAAACAATACCTTGGGTTTCCATTCACCTGCATTTTTACAATTCTCAAAGTGAGAGAGTGATAATCACGCGAAAATTTCGTAATAGCTACCACTGCATTTAGTGCTGTTAGTTGTATTTCCGCTGCTCATATACACACAGACATTATTACGATTTTTCTTTTGTTTTGAAAAATTTTACGCGGCCCTGCGTCTAATATTTTATTTTCATCTTGTACTGAACTGTCGGAAATCTGCCTACCGTTTCCGCGCCCTTAGAGCCGTGGCACAGCGACACTGTCTATTCTGAACTGTTCGCTTTAATCACATTTTTTCCACATATATACGGCCGATTCTCCGTAAAATCAACTGAGATGAAAATTTTTTTTTTTGAGTGACTTGAACTCACATATTTTTTTTTAAATATTAGATCCATAGAATATTATAATTTTACCAATACAATTCAGGACTTGTGAAACGTCAATTTTTTTATTAATGGACATTTATTAGTTAAATTAGAAGCATTTTCAAAAAAATCATAGTATACGGTTATTATATCTTAAACAAAAGTGCAGTCATAATAACCTAAAGTAACAAAAATCCTTGCCGATTGATTAAGTTTCTAATGAGACCCCAATAATTAATAATACTACTAGAACACTCAAACTTGAGTTCAAAAGCACTCTTAATACTAAACTAAACTTTATCTACCGTACACACTCATCTAACATGCGTCAATATCCACCTTCGACTTTAATCTTTTGCATAATTTTAGCCCGGTTTGATTTACATTTTAACGATTACTTGAAAAAATTATCTGATTTGATAAATATACACAATTAGACACTATCTAATATACTTTTATGATGTATCATCCACGCAAATGAGCATTATTTTTAATTTTTAAGGTTTTTAATTTTTTCTCACAATTTCGATACTCTCGAATCCAATAGAAAAGTGTAATATTTAGAGGCTGAAAATTTTATGAAAGTTCGCGAGCATCAATAACACGAAGAGCAACGAGTTATTTAAAAAAATAAAGTGTGCTTAGCCAAAGTCATTTGACGGAGAATCGGTCATATATATGTGTATTGAGCCCGAGAAATAAAAAAGGCACAACAACTGAACAGTCGAGTGAGAAAATGCGTCGAAACGTCTCTCATACTCGTATATATATCTACTGCTCGAATTCCTCGCGCGCTTATCGCTACACAATGGAGGTTCGCGAGCTTCGTCCTAGTCGTTGGCGTTCAAAATAAAAGTAAGTGCCGTGCTTGAAGATGATTTAATGTACGTTGCATTTGTGAAAGTGGACGAAGAAAAAAAACAAGAAGAAATTATGAGACTCGTCCCCGGGGGGGTCGAGGCACATTGTCCTCTTAGCATTGTGTTTCAAGCGGGAGCTTTCACGAGGATGAATATTGCCGAGAAAACCCTTGGTGATTTTTAATAGTCACAAATGCCGATGAAAGACAGTGGTCGTAAGAGCTTAAATTATGGGTGAAAAATTTACCCGAACTGCTCGTAATTAACGTACAAACCGTTACTACGGCTATGGAGTTGGACTGTAGCAAAAAAATTAATAATAACGAGGCATTGTTTGTTCTTGGAAGTCTTCTGGAAACGAACTATATAGCTTCGAAAAAATCGTTTGAATTTCATCGCGCAGTCTTCTGAAAAATTGTCTAGCGATACCGCGCAGAGCATCTTCTTCCGCAAGAGAGCTCTTTCGCACTTGCGGAATCCTCGGGCTTATACGACGACACCGAGCTGCCGCGCGGTTATGAGCCTCGTTCTTATATATTGTTTAGTCTGAGCCGGGAGAGAAGTAAAGAAAGCTCACTGCGGCCTCGATGCGAGAGCTTGTTATCCGACGTCGAATAAAGCGCGCAAGCACAATAAAGAAACAATAGACCTGCGTGTGTGTGTACGCGTACGTGTGCCAGAGCTTGCGCGCGGGGCTGTGTAAGCAAACCGAGACGCTCGTCTCTCTCGCCGAGGGCCGAGTGATTTGTCAGGATTCTACAGTATACATGAACGTTAAATTCGCCATGGCTCATCAAACCTGCTTTGTCAACGGGCTTGCGATTGGACGAGCATCGAATGGACATCGGGCTTTGTTGACTCTTGGCCAGATACACGAGTATGACAGCATGTGTGTCTAGGCGCGTGTATGTTGTTGTTGTTTATATACTTATTCTCAAAGTAGAGTACAAGAAGCAGTTGTTCCAACATTTACTGCGTTCAACTACGTAATCCCGCAAGAAATTGCTTTCGTAAATCATAAATGTTAATGTACCTTTTTTGCTGAAGATCTTGATATTATTCCGTAATAAGACGTTAAAATTGCCTAAAACGATAGTTTTAATAAAACGAAAAATAATAAAATATCAATGCTCTATGAATATTTTGTAAGCTATATGAAATTTTACTGCACGCGAGTAAAGAGGTAGAAAAAAAAGGTGTAAAAAGTATTTTGGAGTACATATATTGAACTTTATGTGATACGGTTGCGCCTGATATTTACTTATACCACTGCTGTAATCCATATTTCAAAAGCTAGACGTCTTTTATATAAGGTAGCTTCGCGCGGCATAAAAGCATCCCTGCATAAACGCGCGCATTGATATAATATGTGGTTTCACTGCGACCGATGCTTGTACGTAATCCTGGCTTGCTACTCGCGCCAGTATACAAGCCAGTAATATTCATAATTTTCAAGGTCTCGTCTACTTTTTCTAATATAACCAACTCGAGTATATAATATATCGACGGTGTATAAAAAATACTCAGCTTGCAATCGCGATTGTTGCTCGGCTTTCGAATAACTTCGCGATAGCGGGGGTTTACGCAGCGTACAATGCAAACGCGAAACAAAAACGTTTGCACCCTGCGCAGTGCGTGGATTCCGGAAAACTTTGTTAAAAGCATTGGAAATAATTATTTAATGAATTTTGCGCGGAGTTTCGCGTGCTTGCGAGCTCTCGCATGCTCACGCACATGTACATAAGCGAAAGGAGTTCGAGCCGTGTATAATGCTATAGTTTTACCCTACCGTGAGAGAGAGAGAGAGAGAGAAAAGCTTTGCAAAAGTTTTCTCAATGCGAGTTAGAAAATACGCGTATGTTACGTTCTTTAATGCTAAACGTAGTAAGCTTAATGGATTGTTTATATACACGTCGAAAAGTAAAAAATTTTTTCAAGTTTTCGTATTTATTCTACGGAACGTATTGCGCGCAGGCTGGTCATAACTTTGCGCGATATTGTAACTTACTGAATAACACCGAAGAATCTTAATAGCTCCCTTACGCACCGCACCCGCACTATACCCTTTAATGCATCGGTGTACTTATCTATGTGGCTGAGTCTGGGAAAAATGGATGAAATTTTAAACCACCTACTCACGTTTCTCGTAAATTTTTAACATAATATACCGAGAATTCGAGTAACTTTGGCCAAACAGTCGTTTCGCAAGCGCCACATTGATGCACGCTCAATAATTTAAAGTTTTGCTCGCGACTCAAATACCTTCGACAACATTTTCATATCCACAGCGTAACGAATGAAAATGTGTCAATCAAAATTATTTTTCATGATTATTTTGTATTCATAAATTTTAGTGAATAAAAAATTGAGATCCACGTGAAACTACGTTTATTCGAATAATACAAACGCATAATTATAAATACATACTTGAATCTTTAGCGACAGCTGCAAGTTGAGTGTCTCGTAATATTTCAAGTGAAGCTTCCATCTATTTCAATACCTCGGTGAGATGATGAGTTCACAAATTTTACAAAGTTATCTTCGCTAAATTTTTTTTTGGACAGCTGCTGCTGTAATTTCAATGTTTGACGCAAAATTTTATTTCATTCAAAATCTAAACGTATTTTTCTATTTCTGAAAATAAAATCATTATCTTTTCATAGCGATCTAGTTATTTTGAATTTGTTTTATAGTAAATTTTAGTCTAAGATCCCTTTAAAATTTTGATCTAAGCCATGATAAATAAAATGAGTTTGTAAAACTTTGACTCGAAATTTTCGGTGACAGCAATTTTTTTGATAAAACTGAATACATATAAATTTAATCGTAATGAGCATTCCATTTATTCATTTTCTATTCCATTTTGTATCTTACAGGCTTGCCCAAATGATAGGCCAGGAGAAAAAAAGGATTTCCGAGCCGAGCAGTGCGCGGAGTTCAATTCTAAACCTTTCGAGGGAGTGTATTACGAGTCAGTATAAAACATTTTTTATTAATTACTTTTTTCTTTGTTTCAAAAAAGTATAACTGATTCGTATGTGTAAATTTGATTTGATTTATTCAATAAAATAATACATACTGGCTTAGCCGATGAAGGCAACGAGCTCCTAGTGAACATGTGACGAATGAGATTTTAATTAGAGCGATACTGTTTTCAAATCGATAGTCTCGATACACAGATTCACAGATTCGAGCATATTACGAAAAAAAAATGTTATTTATTAGGTGGATACCCTATACCGGAGGACCTAACAAGTGCGAGCTTAATTGCATGCCACGGGGTGAAAGATTTTTCTACAGACATCGAGATACCGTGATCGATGGCACACCTTGCGACATCGAGAAAAATGACGTCTGCGTCGAAGGAAAATGTATGGTCAGTACGATTCTTTAATATTTTACAAACATCGCAACGCGCGAATAACCTGATAAAATTTGAGCTTTTCGTACATAGTAGCGCGTCTAATACGAATTGCTTTGGACGCTCGAGTTTTATTAGAAGCAATTTTTTACAAAAATTCGCAAATCTCATTAATTTTAAATGTCTCTCGGAACTCTTGAAAAAAGCCGGTGGGATGCGACATGATGCTGGGCAGCCAAGCTCGAGAAGATGCGTGCCGTGAATGCGGTGGCGACGGCAAAGACTGTAACACCGTCAAAGGCCTCTTCGACACGAATGACTTGCAAGTTGGTAAGTCAACGTTATATCGAAGTAGCAGACTTCGTATATGGACTTGAATTATAGTCTGCATATATTATTCATCGAATAATATTCCTTGTACTGATCGAATTTTAGATTTTACATCATTCATTTTTTCCCTTCGCAGGTTACGTCGATATCCTCTTGATACCCGAAGGAGCGACCAACGTTGTTGTCAAAGAGATTAAACCTTCCAACAATTACCTTGGTAAGATTCGATTATTTTCCATTTCTACTCGATGGCATCATTTTACTTGAAAACATTGAGTAATATACACATCAGTAGGTTTAAACGAGAATGAATTTCTTTGAATAACACATCAAACCCAGTCTCAAGAGCAAAATTTCACTTTTGAAAGCATAATCGCGTTAAAGTTTCTAGCAAATGCGAGTCGAGGCCTTGCATTAGCGCACTGAAACTAGCTTAAGGCCAACTCAAAGCTTTATTGTGCATGTATAACTCGCGGATAAATTGATCGTAAATGTATATGTGTTTCTCCAGCCATACGAAATACCACCGGCCACTACTATTTGAATGGTAACTGGAGGATAGACTTCCCACGCAGTCTGCGCTTCGCCGGTACGATTTTCCATTATAGCCGAGACCCGCAGGGATTTTCGGCGCCCGACATGGTAACGGCACAAGGCCCGACCACCGAAGCCATATATATTCTGGTTAGTCTAATCTATATTTATACGAGAAAAGAACAATTTCTTTCGTCTCCATTATATTGCGGTTGATTGAAGAGGAAAAAATTTCCATGCATAGTGAGAGATTCTTATACCGTTGAAACATTTTTCAGCTTCTCTATCAAGATCATAACGTTGGAGTCGAATATCAATACAGTATTCCCAAGAAATTTTCTCAACAAACCGATGGTGACATTTACTCGTGGGTCGCCCAAGAGTTTTCCGAGTGCAGCACAACCTGTGGAGGAGGTAATGTTTAATTCAATAATTTCGATTATTTTATTCACCAAAAGGGGCTCTTGATATTTTATTTACCGTTCATACAATTAACGGCACCATGTGATAAATAAATAAAAAGTATACATCGTTAACTGCAACATCACAAAAACATTATCTCTACTTTCATAAAGCTCAACTCATACGCGTGGTTAGTGAGCCGACACAATGAAAACCCTTTACACAAGTATAAATCACATTGTATATTAAATACTTGATGGATGGGTTGAAAAGATTTAATTAAATACGCAGTCCGTAAAATTGTACGCTATGTTGATTTGAATTTGATTGATCATGTATATGAAATGGTTGCATACATATACACGTACACATCGATATTATTATTTCAAATCTCCACTCGCAGTACGTCGATTAATATTCGAAATGCCATCCATTTTTTCTGTATATTAAATTTTTCCCATCAAAGACACAGCTTTATTAAATCACGAAATTCCAATCCCCCTGTAAATAAGAAAACCCGCACAAATGACGAAAAAAAATGTCCATCTAATACCTATACAGGACACCAAACGCGCAAGGTCAGCTGCGTTAAGCGGCGCACGAATCAGCAAGTCGACACGAAGCTCTGCGACCCGAATCTCGAGCCGTCGGACACGCAGACTTGCGGCACCGGGCCGTGCGAGCCGCAGTGGACAGAGAGCGAATGGAGTAATTGCACCAAACAATGCGGCGAGGGCGGAGAGCAGACGCGCACCATACGCTGCGAGCAGATTGTCCAAGGTGGCGTGCCCACTGTAGTCGACGATTCTCAGTGCTTGCAGACTCTCGGCCCGAAAGGAGAAACCAAACGAGAGTGCAACAAAGGCAACGATTGTCCTCTGTTTCACGTTGGACCCTGGAAGCCTGTAAGCGATCGAAATTATTATTAATTAATTGAATTTAATAAGGAAGCACACATAACGATAACAGATTTCAAAAATAAGGGGTTCCTTTTATCTTATCTTTTCCAATAATAGTTTATATAATGAGAACGGATTGTTTTTCAAAAAATTTGAAATCCTCGTAACAAATTAATTATTTTTAATTTTTTGTTAATTAGTTCGTTTAAGTAAAATTATATTTCAATTTATAAGGGGTATTTTGTTTATTTAGAGGGTAAAACTAAATTAAAAATATTTAAATATTTACATTTTATTTTCTAATTAAGATGTTTATATGAAAAAAAATGTTTCTAGTGTGACCACTTGTGCGGACCAGGTAAACAAACAAGAAAAGTCGTATGCTACAGAAAGGACGATAAAGGAAAAATTCAAGTGCTGGACGATTCGGCTTGCGAGGGAGAACTTCCCGAGAAAGAGAAAACTTGCGAATTGAGACCTTGCGAAGGAGTTGAATGGGTCGTATCTCCATGGAGTGGCGTAAGTTTCCATCGAACTTTTGCATTTACCTCATAAAATAAAATTCCACTTAGCATTTCGGCCGGAGTTGAAAACTTTTAGAAAAATGAATAAATTCATCGTTTTTAATACGGCCTGCGATGTTTATGAAAATCCCTTCCTAAAATATCGGTTATAATCACCTTAACTACTAGCATACTTATTTAATTTGCTCGATTTTTTTCTCTCCTCTTAATCCTTTCCCAACTTACAGTGCAGCGAAAAGTGCGGCCTTACGCAAGAAACCAGAACCGTTCAATGCTCGACGGAAACTGGTACCGTCTATCCCGATTCGATGTGCGATAGTGCAAAGAAGCCCAACGCAACGAGGGAGTGCGAAACTTCGAAAGACTGCGAATACCAGTGGATTAAAACTCAGTGGAGCAAAGTAAGCTTTGTATTTAAGATTTTCCTCGAGCTTTTATTTATTATTCACGCTTTTGTGTAAATGTTTAGTGTTCGGCGGATTGCGGTACAGGAGTGCAAACCCGTAAAGTATTTTGCGCTACGTTCGAAGATGAAAATACCATGAAAAAAGTACCCGATGAGAAGTGCGATACCGAACAGAAGTTCAATGTAACGAGGGAGTGCACTAGCAAGGACGAATCTTGCAAGGGAGAGTGGTTCACCGGACCGTGGAGCGCGGTAAACATATCTTCATTCATACATTCAATTTGTTTCTTATTTTTCAGAAAAATAAATTAAAATTTTTACCTTTTCTAGTGCTCGAAACCTTGCGGAGGTGGTGAAGCGACGCGGAAAGTTGTCTGCGTTAAAGATAATAAGGTAGTGTTGTCTGACGAGTGTAACTATCAATCAGTCATGCAAGACACTGAACCATGCAACGTGCAAGCATGTGAACAAGGTATGATAGCAATGTCGTAATTACATTGATAGATTACTAAGCAAACAATTTTATGTTTTTTTTCCTTCCAGATGAAGTAATATCTGTGGACCCAGAAAAAGTGACAGCTTTGATGGAAGACGTAGAAGAGCTTGAAGAGTGCGAAGATGAAGATGATGAAGGCTACGTTACTGTTCATCCCACATTCGATTATGAGGTAAGGATAATAACTTTCCGTTGTATTTTTTTCTTTTCAGAACAACAATGTTTGATTCTTGTTAAAATTCAAATAGGATGAGGATTCACTGGCAGAGGCAGAAGGAGAAGGAACGGAATCTTCGTCGATGAGTTCTGACAGTGGAACCGACTTTACAGATTCAAGTAAAATGAGCTCAGACGATGAAATGATGTTCAGTGACGATCCAAATCGCGGTGATACACCACTGCCATTTAGCACTGACAGTGGTAGTGGCACAGGCAGTGACGAAGAGGTATCTATTTTCGCTACTTCGTCAGGATTCGAAGGTAGTGGCACAGAAGATATGTCCACCACTATCATTTTCGGTTCTACTGACGGAATGGATGTGTCCGGAACCACCGAAGCTGTCGACGGCTCCACTACCACTTCACCAGTTGGATCTGAATCTGGTAGATTAACATTTTAAAAATACTAATACTTGGTTGGAGTAAATCATTTTTAACGAATTCCTCATTATTTAGGCGTGACGGATGGTGCATCAGCAGAAACAACCACTGTAGGTACCTCAGATTCCACAACTGAAGCCCCAGTAAGTGGAACAACAGAAATACCTAGCGAGGTATCGACAGAATCTTCAGGAAGTACAGACGCAACCACAGTTAACTCGTCGGATCAAAGTACTGATGCCCCCGCTAGTTCAGAATCTTCAACATCAGAAATGCCTGATACAACGCCTGATACCACTGAGAGTCCACAATCTTCCACAGATAGTTCGATAGAGTCTAGCACAGTATCAAGTGATGTCTCTGGAACAACGCGTAAGAACATTTCTATAGAGGCTTGCCTATTAATAAAATGATTTTTTTTTAATTTTGTAAATGATTTTTTTTTACTAGTGAGCGTATCTGAATCTGATTCGAGCACAGAATCAAGTGGCGCTACAACTGAAGCTGGAACCACTGAAGCAAATGCCGCTGGAACTACCGAAAGCTCAACGGAAGGTGCTAGTAACACCGACTCAAGCAATACTGCTGAAATGACAACATCGGCATCAGTCGACTCGTCTACTATCGTCAGTGGAGAAACTCAAGATGTAACAACCACCGAATCAGGAACCACCGAAAGCGGTTTCGAAACGAGAATATCTGTAGACAGTTCGGAAACAACCGAATCATCGGAAAGCAGCGAATCCGGTATGACAACTGAATCTGGCATGACAACTGAATCGGGTATGACAACCGAGTCTGGAGAATCTATGGGTACCGATGAAACTACTATCAGCGGTGCATCTGAGACGACTCCTTCAGGTGTATCTACAGCAACTGAAACTTCCGATAGTAAGTTTCATTTTGCAAATAAATTAAAATTGTGTAACTAAAAATTACAACTAACCATGAACGCTTTTAGTTATCGACATCTTCACGACTGTCGATCCCGTAATGAAAGCCATCACAGACGAACACAAGATCAAAAAGTGCAAACCTAAAAAGAAAGTCGAGTGCAAAACTACGGAATTCGGCTGTTGTTACGATGGCGTTACTCCAGCTAAAGGTCCTTACTCCGCTGGCTGCCCAACAGCCCAGACATGTAAGGAAACTAAACACGGTTGCTGCCCCGATGGTGTATCAGTCGCTACAGGACCAAAGAACAAAGGTTGCCCAGATCAGCATTGTCAAGAAACTCTATTTGGCTGTTGCCAAGATGGTGTCACACCAGCCGAAGGCAATGACTTCGAAGGATGCAAAAAACCATGCAGCGAAACTGAGTGAGTAATAAATAAATTAACCTCGAGTACAACGATAAATTGCTTGATACAATAATAATTTTTTTCATTAGATTTGGCTGCTGTCCCGACAAAGAAACACCAGCCAGTGGAAAGAACTTATTGGGATGTTGCAATACCACCAAATTCGGATGCTGTCCTGATCAAATTCACGCTGCCAAAGGTCCCGATCTTAAAGGTTGCAGAAAAACTCAAGTCATCGACTGCGCCAAAACAACTCACGGCTGCTGCCCCGATGGTCAAAGAGCTGCCAATGGCACCAACTTCGCCGGTTGCGGCGTTATCGATACCAAAAATTGCACAAAATCCTACTTCGGATGTTGTCCCGACAACGTCACGGCCGCATTGGGACCAAGGGGCACTGGTTGCCAGAAATCTTGCGACAACTCAACTTACGGTTGCTGCGAAGATGGACAAACACCGGCTCACGGACCTAATCAAGAGGGATGTTGCTTGTCGAGTCCATTTGGCTGCTGTCCCGACAGCGTATCGCCAGCTCGCGGTCCCGACTTCTACGGCTGCGGCTGCCATTACTCCAAATTCGGTTGCTGTCCAGATAATTCTACGACAGCCAGAGGACCGAACAAGGAGGGTTGTGGCTGTCAGTTCACCGAGCATGGCTGTTGTCCAAACAGATTCACACCAGCTACTGGACCCAACTACGAGGGGTGCAAGTGCTATACTTATCAATTTGGCTGCTGTCCCGATGGAGTCACTACTGCTAGAGGACCCAACGGTCAAGGTACGAGGACATTTCTAATTAAATGATTCGAGTGATATACCTATCGCTATATAAGAAACTTATTACCTCGTTGTTTTTCTTTTAGGATGTGGTTGCGAAAATACCGAATTCAGGTGCTGCTCCGATGGTCGCACCCCCGCTCAAGGTCCCAACTTCGCTGGCTGCACTTGCGACGCTTCCAGATACGGTTGCTGTCCAGATGGCGTGGAAGAGGCTCAAGGCAAGAACTTCGAGGGCTGCGTCAAGGTGCCATCGAATCCTGGCGCCGCTTGTGGATTACCACGAGACCGAGGCACGTGTCGCGACTTCACAGTCAAGTGGTTCTACGACACCGAGTACGGAGGTTGCTCCCGCTTCTGGTACGGAGGTTGCGAGGGTAACGACAACAGATTCAAGACTCAAGAGGAATGTAAGGCGATTTGCGTGGAGCCTAAAGGAAAAGGTAAGTTGTAATGTTGGAGACACGATCGCTTCGAATAAAACGTTATCGAATCATAAGCACGGGTAGCTTTTCCACTAAAAGAATTGCTCGCAAATAATGTCGAGTGCTGTCTAAAAGACGTTTTTGAGTAGGGAATTTTCTATTAAATTTCTTGAATTGACAATATGTCCTTACGATTCAGATGTGTGCAACTTGCCCAAGATCACTGGTCCATGCGAAGGATACTATCCAATGTGGTATTACGACGCCGAAAGGAGACAGTGCGGTCAGTTTATACATTCGGGCTGTCTTGGTAATGCCAACAAATTCCAGACTCGCGAAGAATGTGAAAATCTGTGCGCCGAACCACATGACGCCGGTAAGCGATTCCACACTATAGTACGAGTCCATTTTCCTTCATTCAAGAGCACGAAAATCACGTAAATCCCTTCGTTTATTTGTGCAGATCCTTGCTCTTTGCCCAAAGAAACTGGACCTTGCGAAGGTAATTTCACACGTTGGTACTTCAACAAAGAATCGCAAAATTGCGAAACTTTCAAATACGGTGGTTGCAAGGCCAACAGCAATAACTACCCAAGCGAATCTGCTTGTAAAAATCAATGCTTACAACCAGGACGTAGTCGAGGTGAGTTATCAATTGTGTTTGTCTCTACTATATATAACTTTTGAAGGGTTGTGTGCATTTTAAGTGAATTTTCATAACTAATATTGAGAAGATTATTACAATTTATCTACGGCTTTATTTTGTAATTTTTTCTACAAAATTAGATATACGTTCTAATGTAGGGCAACAGTATATAGTTCATATTTTGTTCGTATAAAGGAACGTTAAATAAATGTCTGAGCTAGATTGCACTTGCAAAGGGTCGTGCAGTTATAAATGATATAGTCCACGTGAAATATTAAAATCACGAGCTCCATTAAATTGACATTCCTCCTTGTTTTCTCAAGAAAATATATACACGCTCGAGCGTAATAACTATGCAGACGAGAAAATCATGGCTCTGTACTTTGAGCCTTCTAAGCATCACCCTTTTAGTGCTTTCCTGAATGTACGTATTTTAAAGTCATGCAATAAAAGCCTTCAAGACTTAGGGAAGTAATTTACAAAAGTTGAGAAAAACTTGTTTGTTGTCACGTAATATAGGTGATTTTTGATAGGTTGACTCTTAATGATTTATAAAATTACTTTATATAAAATCAACCAGCAAAGTTAATCATATACGGTTGATTTTTAATCAAATCAATTGTCCCAAAAAATATTAAGCCGCTTCTGGCATCATTTTACTTTCGAAAGTTTTTACTCGAAAAACTTTACTTCAAACTTGGAATAAATTGATTTTACACATTTTTTATGCACCCCACCTGCTGTAGACCCAAAACCACTTTTATTGATAATTTTCCCTTGCTTTAAACGTGGCTTTAATTTCTTGTGAATATATAATTTATTGTCAGTAGAGGCCCTTATATTCCTATAAAACGTTAAATCGTGTATATGTATAAAGTTTACTGCACACTTGGAATAATTCAAGCCCATAACTAAAATTAAATTGAGGTGATGGTACAAATAGATAATGTTTTTTTTTTTCATCTAAATCATAAGATTTTGCTTTTTTTTTAAGTAGACATTAGAAACATAATAATGAATTTGTGCATTAATAAAACTAACACGCTTTGTTTGTTTGTACGTGACCAAAACCAGAATCTTGCTCACTGCCACGCAACGAAGGTAATTGCACTGGCAAATACTCAAATTGGTACTTTGATCAGCAAGAGAACCGATGCATGCCATTCTATTACACTGGATGCGGCGGCAATAAAAATAACTTTGCCTCCAGAGAGGCTTGCGAGGCTGATTGTCCTGGCAAGATCGGTAAGGCATACTTTTTGAGTGAATTCATATTTGCACGCTTGCCATTTATTCCTCTTTTTGTCCTACTAAAATCTTTATTGAATACGCTCAATGGAATTTTTCGTTAATACTCGTGTCGAATGACGAATCAACAGAACAAGACGTCTGCCTTCTGCCGGCGTTACTGGGCGAGTGTCACAACTACACGCAGCACTGGTACTTTGATTCTTTCGAGCAGAAATGCCGACAATTCTATTATGGCGGCTGCGGCGGCAACGGCAACAACTTCCAGACCGAAGGCGAATGCATCAACAGATGCGAGCGGCCCGTGCAGACACCCACTCAGACGCACCACGTCGAATTCCAATCAGGTATGTGGCGCACGTACCGCACACGAGTTATACAGGGCATACGTATATATATAGCAGCTACTCGCGCGGCGTACACTTGGCCTCTTGGCTTATTACTCTATAGGTGGTAATTTTCCTTGCTTCCCTCTCTCGTAGATTTCTGCTTCTTGCCGGAGCAACGCGGCGCCTGCCAAAGCTATCAGAACAAATGGTTCTACGACAGTCGCGAGGGCATTTGCAAACAGTTCGTGTACGGCGGCTGCGACAGCAACGGAAATAACTTCGACTCGAGGGAGGAATGCGAGTACCGCTGCGGAGAGGTCCAAGGTAACGCGTGTCACTCGAACGAATGACATCTCCAACGCGACGTCCGTCACGATTAACGCCATGCTAATTTAAATTATCGTATACAGATCCGTGCACGATGCCCGTACTCGTTGGACCCTGCAACGGAACGGTGCCCGCCTTCTACTACGACCACCGCACGGACCTGTGCTACGAGTTCGACTACAGCGGCTGCCAGGGCAACAAGAATCGCTTCGTCGATCAGGACTCGTGCGAGCAGCGCTGCCAGAAGCGCCCGGCCGAGCGTCAGCCGCAGAGGCCCCACTACCAGCAACCGACAGGCACCGACAACACCAGCATCAACAGTCTGCGGCCCGATCATCCGGAGGCGCTCAGCCCGTCGTGCCTCGAGCACGTCGACGCCGGGCCCTGCGACGGCGACGTGCACGCCTACTTCTACGACGCCGACAAGGCCAGGTGCCAGGCCTTCATCTACGGCGGCTGCGAAGGCAACGCCAACAGGTACAGCAGCGAGGAGCAGTGCGAGAGGCTCTGCGGCACTTTCCGCAATCAAGGTAAGTCACCCCCCTCGCGCAGATAAAAAAAAGTCCTTCTGGATTTTTTATCAATCATCTATATGTTAGTGTGTATCGTTCAAAATTAAGCGCATTTGTTCCATCGGCCAATGGGTCTGAAATTTAATTAGAAGTTAATAACTTGGAAAGTAGAAATGAGCATGATGTATTATACCTACGGGGCAATTTTCCGCTCGTTTAATGAATTTACAGGGAGCGCGCGTAAGAGTATTGGAAACCGTATCAAGTAGTGCAGATTTTCATCGTAAAAAAAAAAGAATGCTTCAGACCTAAATCCAGTTAATTGAACATTGTATATGTATATAATGCTATATATATTGCATGCGAGAATCGGTTCTATTTCTCAAACCATCTAATGCACCTCCATCAATGTAATTTGTGCAAATTATCGTCATTCAACATAAATACAATTGCGCATACCCATTAACATCGAATTAAATAAAATATCAAGTTAAGCCATGAATTTTTGAAGGAACTCATTAGTGCAGAGCTTCGAGAGCTCGCTTATATTATACACAAGCGCACGAGTGCTAAATTTGAATTATAATTATATAATTTATTTTTTTAAATTCCTTGCAGACATCTGTCATCTTCCGGCCGACCAGGGACCTTGTCGCGGATCCTTCGCCAAATTTTACTTCGACTCGAACTCAGGTGTTTGCCGCGAGTTCTATTACGGCGGCTGCGACGGAAATGCTAATCGCTTTAGTTCTCGCAACGAGTGCGAATCCGTTTGCATTCATCACGAGGAGCCCGCGCAATCTGGCAACAAAACGGCTGTCGGCGAAATAAGTAAGTTCAGCCATCCCACTGCACCCCGTAGGCGTTATGCGCGGCACTTCATTCCAGCGCCTGAAATTTCCCTACTTACTTTTCGTTCTTTTCCCCAACTTTCCCAACTTTCGAACGGGTGAAATTTTATTGGTCGACGCAAAAAATTTTTTATTCACTGTCATGTAAATTTCGCTATGTGTGTATGTGTGATCGATATAGCGATATGCAGAGAGCCGGTTGACAGTGGATCTTGCTCTGCTGGAAATTACAAGAGGTTCTATTACGATGACGAGTATCAGACGTGCAGGGCGTTTATTTACACTGGTTGTGGTGGAAATCGTAACAACTTCAAAACTGTCGAGTCTTGTCTTAGAGTTTGTAGTCGTAAGTCAGCAGTCAATGAAAAAATTTTCAACGATTTTTTATCTGCTTCTTTTTTATAAAAAGTGACTTGCGCATCACCATTGTACAGAGAAAATCTCATTCCTCCTTATTGCGTAAAGTCACTCACGCTATACCCCTAAAATAGGCATTTTAATATTTTATATCCTGCTTTGCGACAACAAACCATAAAAAGTATGGTCTTATTGTAAATATACATATTTTTCAAAGCTAAATTTTGACATATTTATACCTTGATAGTAGATACAAAAGCTATTGCTGCTGTATTATACAATCGCTGTGACCTCAAAAATATTTTTCCAATTTATCATCAGCATTAATTTAGCAGAAGCTAAGTCCTAATTGAAATTTCGAACGATTCTTAGAAATCAACTCGATCCCCGACGATACCCAGGACAAAGAGAACCCGTGCGCCGAAGCCATCGAGCACTGCCGCCAGCTCCAGTGCGCCTACGGCCAAGAGAATTACGTCGATCGCGAAAATTGTCAACGATGCCGCTGCTACGAGCCCTGCCAGTACGTCTCGTGCCCCGAGGGCAGCAAGTGCGCCGTCACCATCGTCAGCACCGAAGAGGGCAACGAATACAGGGGCGTGTGCAACCCCAGTGAGTATAAATCCGAATCCCCGCATCGATCCATCGACGATCGTCCCGTTTTCTCGTGTACTTTTGACGAATCAAAAATTTATTAATTTTTTTTTTTTTTTTTGCAGTCACGAAACCAGGCCGATGCCCGCAAGTGTCGAACAGCACCTACTGCGATCAGGAGTGCTACACCGACGCCGACTGTTACGGCGATCAGAAGTGCTGCAGCAGTGGCTGCGGCACTTCGTGCTTGAATCCGGCCACCGAGGTCGACTATCATCAGACCACCGAGTCCAACAGGATAGAGCAGGAGGTCGTGCCACCGGGCGCGGTGCAGGCTCAAATTCAGCAGCCGGCCTCGCCGAACGTCAGCGGCGAGGAGGGCGGATACGTCACGATGAATTGCGTCGTCATTGGCTATCCCAGGCCCGTCATCATCTGGAGAAAGGACGCCAAACAGGTGAGTCTCAGATAAGAATTTCAAATTCCTGGTAGAAATATTAACAATTGACTAATGATAAAAAAATAACCATTCAAAATGTTTTAAAATAAATGATTATTTTTCTTGTTTTTGGCGATTTTTCGAAAGCAATATTGTTGAAAAGATTAAAAGAATTTTAAATGTCTTGAGAATGTAAATTTAATTGTTTCTAAAAAGTTTTACTAGTTTCTAACTACTTTTGAGGCATTATTACTTCAAGCGTCTACCGCTAGATGGCGAATACCACTTTATCTAATAATCTACAAGTGGCAAAGTACAAATAATTGTATAAATCAAAGCACGGTTATGAAGTAAATTAACAATTATTTAATGTTTCCATTAATGAAATGCCACAAATATCATGTTCGACGGCGATTCACACTAATTTTTGAAATGTAGAGCATCATATGGTCCCAAACTCCATTTCTAAACACCTTCTTACGTCGACGAAAACTTTTCATTGTCCAAAAACTATACATAGTTATAAAATGTTGGGCATTTAAACCATGGATTGAGAAATCTGTGGGATTGCTAATCATTTTCTTTTCTGTCAATAGATTGGCTCGAACGAAAATAGACGCAGAATTCTGGACGATGGATCTCTGCAAATTATCAATTTGTACCCGTACGACAAGGGTGTGTACGTATGCACAGCCGATAACGGAATTGGTGCTCCGGCGAGAATAGAATATACATTAGACATCACGGGTAAGTACCGAAATAGCTTCTCACATGGTTGATGGTTGACAAAAGGGGGTAGAAACACACTAACTTTTGACCGAAGGACTTGTAGCTTTGATTAAAATCCGTACTCGGATTTAAAATAACGGATTGTAATGGTTTGATCAGTATTTTTGGGCTCTATTAACTTTAGCGATACTTGATTGAGTTATAAGTTCGCTTGTAACCGTATTGAAAAAAACTAACAAAACTCGCTTGTCACACACACACACACACGCGCGCTTTCTCACTGCTGCGTTGCTGCTGCTGCTGTTGCTGGCGTGTCGCACTTGCCTCGACAAAAAAAATACGCAGAGCCGCACGAGAACCCGCCGAACATAATCGACGAGCCGAATCGGGCGCTGACCGTGAATCTGATGTCGCCCTCGGTTCTGCACTGCTACGTGGTCGGCTGGCCGAGGCCCACCGTCTCCTGGTGGCGCAACGACAGCATGCTGCCCCTCATGTCGGAGCAGTACGAGCAGGGCTCGGACAACACGCTGCTCATCCGCTCGGTCAGTCTGAGCAATCTCGGCGTCTACACCTGTCACGCGTACAACGGCGTGGGCAAGCCCGCGACCTGGTCCATGACGCTGCAGGCGGTGGGGCCCGTGGCCAACGTCAAGCCCGACCAGGAGAAGTACACGCAGTACCTGGTGCAGCCGCCGCACAGGCCCGAGCCGCCCTCGTATCCCTACAGGCCCAGCAGGAACGACACCCGCGACAATCAGACTCTGTACGCGCCACTGTCGACCACCAGAAATTACGGCAACGTGCCGGCTGTGATACCGATCGAGGCCACCACGCCCAGGCCTCGCTACCCAGGTAGGCATATGACTCGCCCCGCCAATTACGCATACGAAAATAAAAGTGAATTCAAATAGAGAACACACATGTTTTTTCTTCAAGATTATTTTATTATTACACTAGGTGTAGTTAGCACTGCGTTAATAATTGAGCGCAAGCCATTCATAGTAACCATTTAATTATAATGACTATTAATGGGTTGTAGTTTTGGTACAAAAAAAGCAGCTAATTGCATTAATAATCTGCAGTAATTAATATGCAGTAAGCTTTATTTAGGTTTTACGCTTGGTTGTAGTGATTTGATTTTGAGAGTTTTTTTTACTGGGAGCTGGGAACGAGAATGGGCAATCGAATGAAACGAGAAATTAAACATTTTTCATAAAAATATAATGCACTATCGTTCGATTGCTCTATTCAGCTTTTTCACCCGCAAAAATGAAATATTCATTATTTTTCTTCGCACTCGACACAGTACCGTTGCAAGTCAACATATCCAGCTCGCAAGTTCAATTCCCCGAGAATGGACCGATATCACTGAAATGCAGCGTAACTGGATCGCCCGAGCCACGAGTCATTTGGTACAAAAATAACATTCCTATTTACGAGGACGACAGAACCAGAATTTCCCGTAAGCGTGATTTATTATCATTTTATTTCGTCGCATATGAATCGCTGTCCTATAAACGATTGATACATTTTTAGGTACGAACGAATTATACATTTCGCCAGCCAATGCCAACGACACTGGAAAATATCGCTGCGAGGCGGATAATCAATATTATCAAGCATCGGACGAAATCGATATTCGTGTAGCAGGTACGACCTCAATACGCACATAAATTTTAAAAATCTACCAAAGAAAAAGCAACGAGCTACAATAATATGACTCGCAATTCACGCAGGTGTCTACATCGACCCGAACTGCCAGGACAACAAGCGCTACGCCAACTGCAGCCTGATCGTGGCCGCGAGATACTGCCAGCACAAGTACTACGCCAAATTCTGCTGCAAGTCTTGCACGGAGGCGGGTCAGTTGGCGGCTCGGCCGAGCATAGCCCCGTACTCCGAGGAGCATCAGCAGCGCGTCAAACGATCGCTATTCTCGTTCTTTTAAGCACGACGATGATGATGACCAACAACCAAGCAACCGATCGACACACCGACGAGCGCGCGGATAATGTAAAGGGTCCGCGAGCAAATTGATTTTCCCCAAAAAGCTGCGCAGACTTCAATTAATAAGTGACTACTACCATATCGATATATAGAATGCATCGAACGTTGCTATAGCTGCGGAAAATTAAATTAGCGCACTGCCAAAGCCTTAGGTCGTCTATATGTAGATTTATTTAAGATTAAGTTGATGTGGACGATGTGGGGGATAAAAAGCATTGTATGAAGAACCAAAATTTCGTATAAGAAACATTTTTCTGACAAATAATTTTTAATGTACAAAATATATCTTTAACGTGCTAACGATGCCATGTTAGATTCTATGTATGGACTGATCTAATGCTATAACTTCCTAGTCTAACGAACTCTGCCCTCATACGGGTTCATCGGACTGCAACGGATTTACTTTTGCCAAAAGTTTGTACGATTTTTCATCTTACCGTAATTCTTTTTTCGCTCAAAATTACATTATTGTGGCAAAATTTTAAAATATTTATGATGGATTAAAGCGTGAAAACTTCCAAATCATTTTCCCGATGGAAAATAATAACATTATCATTGCCACGAAATTCAATGAAGCTTCTGTACATTTGTTATAATTAAGTTTGAATCTTTTAATGAAATTATCAAATCGCTTGCGATGGAAAATCATATCTACTGAACTTTTTTTAACTGACTTGAAAAAAAAAATTAGTGGTTGAACCACTTCAGTCTACAATCGAAATTTTATAGAGTGTTTAGCAACAAAGGCAGATTTTCACGATCAATAAATAGTTTAAATAACCAAGTATCGAAAGTTTGAACACTTTTACAGTTCAGCCATTACCGATTTTGATAATTTGCTTATTCAAAATATTTTATCATTAAAATTTACGATAACGTTAAGCTTATGAATTTTTGTACGACTATGTTATATTGTGAAGTATTTAATAGTTTTTATTATGTAACAACAGCGCCTATTTTTGCTATCTTGTCAGATTACTAACTGCAATGTAATTGTAATGTTATATTTCAATATAAAAAAAATGAATACTCTATGTAAGATGTTATTAGTAATACAAAAAGATCGTAATTTATTCCAAACAATCGTATGTTTGTACAGTTTTATTAAATTTGCTAATTATTAATAACAAGAAAAAGTAAAAACTTTAAGTTAAGTAATAACACTATTGCATTTACGATTTCGTTCCTGTGACACCGCTAACCAACAATTGTAAAAATGACTAAAACTGTGACTATGAAGAAGAATCTTTCGCTGTATAATATTTACAAGCGTAAAGACTTATTAACATCAAACATTTTCAATATCTTGTGGCTGGTGCTATTGACTTTCTACGTGTCAGCCTAAAGTCATTCTGTATCTACAAAAATACATTTTTACCATATATAGATTTGAGTACGAAGCATATTCAATTTTTTACCACGAATTTTATGTCATTTGTAACAAATGTGTGTTACATTAATTTGAACCATGTATGATTATTTAATTTAATCCTGGTCACGAATCATGTGCCTTATAATAATAACTACAATGATAAGAAAATATCACGAGTTGATGACCTTCGAGTTTTACGAATATCTTGAGTTAGTTTTTAAATTAGCGGTATTTAGAATTTGATCTTAAAAACAGACCATCAATCTAGATTTGAGAAGAAATACTCAAAGAACGATTATTCCAATTGAATTACCTGCTTTTTTTGAACAGAAAATAATCAAAAGATATCACAAGTAGCTATATTACAAAAACAAACAGTGACCATACTCTTGTTGTAAAAAGTGTAGGTGTAGAGAGAATTTTGAAAAGTTGTATAAACCGATCTTCCAAAAACTAACTGACTCTAAACCTATTAGCAGAAATATTTTGTACTTCCTTTTACTTTTGTACGAAAACCCTCTTTGACAAGGATTTCAGAAAAAATCTCGGACTGATATTCTCGAGTTCCCTAAATGTTTATATATAAATACATGTGCAGTAGATTGAAAACAAACAAAAAAAAAACAGAATATATGATATATAATTAATTCATATCAAAATATTAAAATTAATTTACTGTTAATCTAAATGTTCATCTCAATGAATTAGATCGAGAAGTTTTCATAAAATCCGTAGTATCGATTTCAGACCCAAAGAGGATGCATTATCGCATGATATCATTAACATACAAACTGACTTAGATGAATTAAAATTCGAAAAATTGACTAGACTTTACAATTAATTATCACGACGAGTGTGCGAACTTGAAAGTGTCGATAACACGGATTTTTCTAAAACTAACTTTTATAAGTGTTTCAATAGCTACGTAAGGCTTTGAAAGAATTACATTATAAATAAATATCAAAGGTACATTCAAGGGTCAAGGTAACTCTTGACAAGATTAACAAAAAAATCATATCTTCAAAATATAATATTATAGTCGTTGGTCGAATTGACTCCATTGCTATGAATCAATGGCAATTTAAATATCTCATACTACACATATGAATCTTTTAGTAAAAAAAATCTTAATTATACTTGTTAGAATTTTTGTCGTAGGTGTTTAAAAACAAATGAATACAATGAAATCTAATGATATAAACATAAAAAATGATATATTACATGAAATACAATTTCACAAGACGATATATTATACGGAATGAATGCCAATGTACGAGTATATTGTATGGACAATAATATTATTATTACAATTAAGGTCCTCAAATACAGAATTAAAAATACTGACTGGGGAGTTGTTATTTCTCGATCTTCATCCTCTTGGACAAGCCGTAGCTGGATTTCCGGGGCATGTTGCGATGTATGTACTGCTCCTCGATGAGCAGGGTGCGCTGCATGCGCTCGGTGGCGATCTGCTCGATCTTGGCGAACAGCTCGCTGTGCACCGCGATGCACTTGCGGAAGTCCTTGCGATCCAGCCGATACACCTCGCAGACCTCGATGGCCACGACGCTGGCCACTCGGCGCTGGTCCTGCACCAGCAGGGCCACCTCGCCGAAATGAGCCCCGTCCTCGAGGAAGCAGACCTCTTTGCCGGTGGGCGTGAGAATCGCGACCGTGCCGCTCGACAGGAAGAACATGCAGTCGCCCTGGGTGCCGGCTTTGATGATCATGTCCTTGGCGAGATAGAGTTCGCGCTTCAGATGCGTCACCACGAGGGTGAGGATGTTTTTCGGCAGATTGTGAAAGATCTCGACGCTCTCCACGAGCTTTTTACACGAGTGCAGAATGACCTCTTGTCGCAACGAATCTTATTTCGTTAGAATATGTGAAACAATCGTTTGCATGAGATTTTGACGAACCGAATTAGAAGATTGTAAAGGAATATACTAATACCAGATAGATGCGAAAGAAGAGTCTCTTCTCGAAAATAGCTGTTCCTGAAGCGATATCGGTAATAGGTCATGATCCTCCGTTTCATGTACGTGGGCAGTTGTTTTTGTCTCGAGTACGCCGCGACCTGATTGAGCACCTGCTCGTACTTCGATTCCGAGGAGTATTTGTCGGCCACGATCTGCAGCAGCACGACTGCGAAAAGCACAAGGGGGGGAGAAATGTAGCGCAGGAAAATCGGTACAAAATTACAATTTCACTCACTTATGAAGTAACTCTTGAAAACTCGGCCAAGAATCATGAGCAACGTGCAGACCATAATGTGGCCGACGACCCGAGGCTCGATGCCCCCGAAGCCGCTGGCGGTGAAATGCTCCAGTACGATGAAGACGGCCCGCTCGTAACGGCGCGAGATTCCCGTGATCTCGGATCTGCTGACTATCCAGCTGTCGGTGCTGCGTGGGTATATAATAACGCGTGCCAGCCCGTGAATGTGAAATAGCATAGTGGTCGACGAGACGAGGTATGATATTATACCGACCCTCCGTGAAGTCTGTCCTCGGCGAACATGTCGATGCAGGGTATGACGCTGCAGATGCACGTGAACCAGTGGATTATGTAGGTGTAGAGGATCAGCGTCAAGCACAATTGACAGATGATGCCTTGGCTGTCGAAATACTGGGGAAGCAAAAAATCGATTTGATCGGTATGATCCGTATCGGTATGATCGGTTCGATCGACTTTTACCATGAAAACTTGCTTCACCAGTGACGTGAAGGTGAAATAACGAAAAAGCTTGCACAAGGGTATGAGGTTGATCAATGCCACGATCAGCGAGCTACCGTCCCCCGGCTTCTTGCGCCATCTCAAGGTCATCAAGTCGTAGGGCAACGACGTGAACACGTCGAGAAACAAATAGCTTTTCAGGTACCTTCTGCAAATTTCATTCGAATTTTTCGCCTTCTTTCGGTATGACTCGAAAGAAATTGCACTTAACACGACTTGTATAATAAGTACTTGAATATGAGTTTATGATCCAAGATAACCGTGGAGCTCTGTTCGTCGTAGTAACCCGTAAAACACTGACAGACAATATCTACCCAATGAAAAAAGTACAAGTAAACGTTAGCCATATCCATATTGACTTCCTCGTAATCCAGCACGACGAAGCATATAAAGAACGGCACGGTAACAAACGATATGGCGTAAATGATGAGCATAACTGCGTCCCAAAGAAGTCTGCAATAATATTAACAGAACAGTCTGCTGAAGGATTATCGAATTCTCCAACGATTTTTTTTAAATCGATTACTTGAGTTTACTGTAGGGGTGAATGATCCACCACCGCTCCGACGATCGGTGACGTTTCATGTCTTTGACGATGCTGGCATTACTCAGGAGGTGCTCTTGACACATAGGGTGCTTCCTGTAGATCGTAATCCAGTTCCACAAGGCATTGTTATTTTTTACCGATATCAAATCCTTCGACACGTGATCCTTCAATTCACAGCGGTGAGTGTAAAACATAATGTAATCCGCACAGATTGCTCAACCACGTCCGTATGACTCAAATCATTTTCAACATTTTCAACCGCTAGCAGACATTTCAAATGAAGCTCTTACGTGCTTATTATACTTATGATAATATTTAAAGCCCACTGATGCGCGGCACCGGCTGCTAACATGTTTGCATTTTACATAACCTAACTTGGCTTTTACCGTCTATTTTTCACGTGTGTGCGGTGTGTTGTGTACGTTTGTTATTTGTTGTAAATCATTGGCATTGTTGCTGTCACTTGACGAAATTTAAGTGGGACATGTGCAAATATTTCTTCCATGTGTTTTGATTAACGAGCATGTTAATATACTATTTTAAAACCATCTAAGGAACTTTTGATAGCTGATTTGGAATTTCAACTCGATTATCATTTAACTGTCCGAGTATCTACTCATTAAAACATTTAATTTGTCCGTTTTGAACAAATCGCACAATGTTTTCTCGACAATTTTTACGATTGACAAGTAATTGTCGTAGGTTCAGACTCACAGTTCCTCCAAGGATTATTCATGGTATCAGTAAAATGGAGATCAGTCCATGTAAGATATAAAAATATTTTAAAAATACTTGTCTAATAATAATAAAAATTATTCTATTTCAAATTAATTAATTTTCTATTTTTAGATACCACAAGAATGTCAAGTACTCAATTTAATAGCAATAATTATGACCTGCAATGTGATACATCAAACATAGAAGTCCCTTTTTCTGTCAAAATTTTATTAGAGTCTGATGCATCAATAGCTATTGGCCATGACATTGTTGAAGCAATGACTGATTTAACAAAACTTCACAAATTCAAACGAATCCCCATGAATCAATTATCACAGCAAAACTTTTATAAGGACTTCTTTAGTTTTGTAGAAGAAAATGCCGAAAAATTAACAGTTTCAGAATCTTTAGAGGTCATGAAAAATTTAGTGAAACTTCAAGTTCCAGGCTCATCAAAAATCGTATACTCTGTTTTAAAAAACTTACAAGGAAAAATAAAAGATCTAAGCATGATAGAGTATAATATATTATCTGATCAAATGAATAAAATGACAAGGTCTACATTAACGAAACCTTTGAAATTGTTGATGCAAAGCCATTTTGTTTCCTGTCTTTTAAATAAATCGAAAGAAAACGACTCACAGTTTTTAGCACAAGCATTGAGATATTGTTACAAAAATATGAATGATAAGAGAATCTTAGAAATTATTGCTGACCAATTACAGCAGCTAAATTTTTCAACTGTACCTGTTTCTGATGCTCTTTCCATTTTTAAATCATTTTCTGCTATGCAACATATAAATTTTTCTGGTTGGGAAAGAATTTTAAAGAATGTAATCAATATCTGCAGCAAAAATATTCAACAGATACGTACATCTGATTTAAAAATTATTTTGTATCGTATGTCTGTGAAACTTCAGAAAAAAGACAGGTATTATGCGGCAAAACATATGAAACTTTAATTAAACAATTAGTAGTTAATATTTTTTATTAATGATTATACTTTTATTTTTCAGGATTGAAGAATTGTATAATAGTGAGCTATGTGATGAAATAGTTCGTGAAATAATTAGCAGAGATGTAGGTTTTGATAATGCTTTAGATTGTTTGAAATATTTAATTGAAATCAGGCATACAAGCATAGATTTGTTAAATTACTTGAGCGCCAAATTTTATGATAGTAAATACTTATCTCGTAAGATAATTTCAAATGAAACACAAAGTTTATTAATTTTATTGAACGCAATGTCAGCAATAAGATATAAACCTTTAGTATGGACAGAAATATTTGGAAGTTTAAAAAAAAGCTCCAAATTACCAAGAATGCCTATAGAGACTTTGATTGTGTACTCTCTTCACCTTGCAGTATTGGACTGTTTTGATAACAAGATTTTAGAACAATTACTCTGCTATGAGCATGATATTGAACCAAATAGTTATATAAATTGGGCTACTATAAAACTTTGCCAAATATTGAAAACTCATCCTAATTATAATGGTCCTTTACCATCAGATAAGCTAATAGCATCATTTGCAAATATGGTTCCAGTGAGGAGAATTTTCATGCAACCAAATCTCGAACATGCTTTAGGTGGATCTGACTATGTTATATCAAATGTTAGAACTAAATTAAATCATTCTATCGGTAAGATTTTTGAAATAATAGCTTTATTTAAAATATAACATATAATTTGAAACACTATATTTTTATCAATTTTCAGATTGTGTTGTAGCTTTCAATAACGGACATCCTATACCCATTAATCAAAATCAGGAAAATAAAAAGATTCAATATTTAGAAGATTTGAATGTTCCAGCTGGTAGTGAAATGTATGTGAAGTTAAATAAATTATTCCTATAAGTTTTTTATGAATTTAATTTTTGATATTTCTTACAGTGTTGCAGTTGTAGCCAGTCATCCTAGTTGGTATTCTCGAAATAAAAATGAAATGATTGGTGTTTATTCATGTTATTTTGAAACTTTGGAGGCATTATCATATAAAGCTGTTATTGTACCAGAAAAAGAATGGAAGACTCTACTTGATGATAACAAAGATCAATTTTTACTTGAAGCCTTAAGAACTAAATTAAACAAAGAAATACATTGCTAACCATAATTAAATGTATTTATATTTGTTTATAGTTTTTATTAATTGTAAAAAGTGTAAATATTACTAACTTATGAGATAGTAACATTTTTACATTATGAATGATTTATAATTTGTTGCAATGATTGTTACTTGTAGTAATTAAAATAATGTTTCCACGAAATTCAACTTTTGATCGATCTTAATAATAAGTTTTAATATTTGGTCAAATATTTTATTATTGAACTGCAAAAGTACGGCAAATAATTTATGAAATTTTTTTGAGGAGGTAATAAAAATTAAAAAAGTATATTCATGACTATAGCAATGTTTTATAATTATTAATTACCTATAAGATAAACTCAAATTAAATTTTCATGCGATACTATCGATATTTCACTATTCGAGAAATTTCGAAAACATCAACAAGTGCGAAGCGCGCGCTGGTCGGATAGTGGGAACATTGCAAATATACCTTAAGGGAGGGGGAATGAAACTCTGAACGACCGTTGGTTAATATCGCGGATCCATGGGAATTGACTGAATTCTAGAGAGTTTGAAATCGAAATCCTGTAGAAACCTGTAGTCTATCGGCTCGCATTATTTGTGTTCAGATATTTGATATCTGTAAAACTTATCTGAATTTTTTTAATTAAAACGTTATCATCGACAATGACAACAGAAGCTGCGAGTACGGCCGCCGTGGAAGAAGATTTGGACGACTGTCAAGGACAAGCTAAATTAATCAAAACTTTAGAAGTACGTAATATACTCGATTTAACCTAGGAAATAATTTCGATATTTTTTTCCTGATTTTTTGCAATAACTCTTTTGTTATTTAATTCTCATAAGTTTTATTTTTAATGTAATTCATGAAATTTTTCTCAATTTTAGGGCAATGGAATCACTGCTGGTGACATAAAGAAGTTAGAAGAAGCTGGATATTATACTGTAGAGTCAGTAGCTTACACTCCTAAAAAAGTTTTAATATGTATTAAAGGTATAAGTGAAGGTAAAGCAGATAAAATATTACAAGAGGCTTCAAAACTTGTTTCAATGGGTTTTAAAACAGCAGCCGAAGTTCATATGATCAGAGCAAATATAGTGTATATAACTACTGGGTCTGCAGAATTAGATCGTCTTCTAGGAGGTGGAATTGAAACAGGCTCAATCACAGAAATATTTGGAGAGTTTAGAACTGGTAAATCTCAACTTTGTCATACTTTAGCAGTGAATTGTCAATTACCTGTTGACATGGGTGGTGCAGAGGCTAAATGCATTTATATTGATACTGAGGGTACATTCAGACCTGAAAGATTAATTGCAGTAGCTGAAAGATATAACATAAATGGAGACAGTGTTCTTGACAATGTTGCCACAGCAAGAGCTTATAATTCAGATCATCAAACACAACTTTTAATTAAAGCAAGTGCTATGATGTCTGAGTCTAGATATGGACTACTGATAATAGACAGTGCTACTGCACTATACAGAACTGATTTCACTGGACGAGGAGAATTAGCTGCTCGGCAAATGCATCTTGCTAGGTTCCTCAGGTTACTATTAAGATTAGCTGATGAATTTGGTTGTGCAGTTGTGATTACTAATCAAGTAGTAGCCCAAGTTGATGGAGCTGCAAGCATGTTTGGAGGAGACCAAAAAAAACCTATTGGAGGCAATATTCTTGCTCATGCCAGCACAACCAGACTTTACTTGCGCAAAGGGAGAGGTGAGACAAGAATATGCAAAATTTACGATTCTCCTTGTCTGCCAGAAAGCGAAGCTACATTTGCAATTAATGCAGATGGAATTGGTGATGTAAAGGAATAATCGCCTTTATTTCTCATATGCATATTCTAAAGAAATTTTCATATTATTTTTGTTGTCCTTGAGTATAAAAATGAATGATCCAAATAGTCTTATAGAAAAAAATTAATTTAAGAGTTTGTATCGAAGACTTTGTATTGCATTTAATATTATTTCCTACTATACATTTTAAGAAAAGTTCATGAAAATACCAAAAACTGAATATTGTAAATATTGGAAGATTCAAAACAGTTTTAAATGGTTTTATGTCATTTGATCCAAGAAGACAAACAAATGTCATTGTGTTGCTTTTACTTATCTGTTAAAAACAGTATTGTTTGTAAATAAAACCACCAAAATTAAAAACCATATTTTTCTGTCACTTTCATTTATGATAATAAACAAACTTAATTACGCTCTATAAACCCAGAGTAAAACACAAATAAATGCTTCCACAGGATGTGGTGCGTATATATCCTGATAAGAATTTTTGCGTCCATAAGTCAAACCCAGTTTCATAATAAAAAGTCGCAAAAAAAAAGAGTAGCATTAGGGAAAGAGAGACGGAGACAGAGAGCACGAAGAAGCCGCGAAAATAAATACAAAGGCAAGTATATAAAACCGGTATTTCCGCTGATGGCGTAAGTGTTATTCGCGCAAGAAATCTGACAAGAACACGGACCGTACAACAAGGACTCGCTATTTTGCATCGCTCAAGTATAGAGTATAGACGCTTACCAATTCGCGCACTTGGCTAAGGGCTGTCCTAATTTCAAGGTCTCTCTCTGACGTGTACACACCGGCTATCTGTCAGATCTTACTTCTTTTCATCTTGTTTTTTGATACTCGGTAAGTATTTTTGTCGTAATTCATGTACGAATACCGAGCACATCGAATTAAAACTCCTAAATTATGGATTAGTTCTTTGCCAACGATATCTTAGCCACGGTAAAACGAACGTATCATTGTTACCGCCCGGCATCTGTTATTCTGCTACCCAGAAAAAATTTCTTTGTTTCGATATTGTTCGTAAGAAGCGCCACGAACAAATAATGTTCAAATTTTGCAAGTCAAATCTATTCTGGTCCGGTTTGTCTTGCAAACACTTGACGCGGCAGAAGTTGTCGGGTTCCGTACGTTTTTTAACGCTCGGTAAAATTCAAAAGAATTTCGCTCGCAGAGCTAACACAACTTTTACGTTCAGGTAATATTTTCTCAAACCTATTGAGCTATAATTAAAATCGTTTGATTGAATCTCAACTGAAAATATCCTGTTGTATGAAAACTATAAGCAATTTATACTCCTTTAAGTACATTCTGTTCTTTTTGCTTTAAAAACGTAACCTAAAATCGATGATTTGGCAAAATATGTTAATGGAGTATATAGTTTTAAGTCTCATCAATTTAGCAAAAAATGACTTATCAATTAAATTCAATGTTTTTTTTTCATAATTTTTCAGTCAATACCGTACATTTGCCAAAATGAGTGATGACATTTCATTATACACACTACCAAATACACAGCCTATTGTTCAATTGGACTGTTCGACAGCTTTTGAAGCATTAACGCAAAAAGAAAAAAGTTATGCTCATTATCTTAGTCAAGCATCATGGAATGGAGGACTTATAGTTTTTATCCAAACATCACCTGAGTCTCCACTAATCTTTGCCTTGTTGCACAAAATCTTTCTTAATCAACCAATTGAAGATTTGAAAAAATCAGCTCTTGCTGCTGGCCTTACAGACGATGAGTTCACAGTGAGTAATTAGTGAATCTGAAACTTAGTTGACTTAATAAATTTAAAACTTCTTGCTCCTTTTTACAGGCATGTCTAGTCTACGCTTGTGGTATATTTTCAAATTCTGGAAACTATAAATCATTTGGAGACAGTAAAATTATTCCTAATTTGCCTGTTGAAAAGTTTGAAATATTTGTGAAAGCATCAAAAGCATACCAAGAAGATACTACTGGTTTAGAATCTCTTTGGAATAAAATTAAAGAACCAGCATACAGCTTAACTGAAAAAGTCAAGTCATTAGGATTAGGTGACAAGGGATTAACAACATATTTCTCTGCTAATTGCACAGAAGCAGATGCAGATTTAATCAATGAATATATGCAAAAGAAACACCTAGAATCGTACAATGCAAGATGCTTCAAAACAGATGTTAAGGGAGATGGCTTTGAATGCAGGTATGAAATTAGATTAGCATCCACTGAAACTAGCGATGATCCTAGTATTACTCTTCCTGAAGAAGTTTACAAAAATGCCCAGTTTAAAATTACTAGAGGAGATTATGATTTAGTTCTTTTATCAGTTGTTGAAAACTTGAAAAAAGCTAAGGAACATGCTGCCAATGAAACAGAAGTAAATATGCTGAATAAATATGTGGAACATTTTGTTACTGGTTCTTTGGAAGAACATAAGAATGGTTCAAGATATTGGATTAAAGATAAAGGTCCAGCTATTGAAACTTACATTGGTTTTATTGAAACTTACAGAGATCCAGCTGGTCAAAGGGGAGAGTTTGAGGGTTTTGTTGCCATGGTAAATAGAGACATGTCGAAGAAATTTTTAACTCTTGTCAATGGTGCTGAGACTTTATTGCCTTTGTTACCATGGGGAAAGGACTATGAGAAAGATCAATTTTTACGACCAGACTTTACTTCACTTGATGTATTAACTTTCTCTGGATCAGGCATCCCAGCCGGTATTAATATTCCAAATTATGATGATATAAGACAATCAGAAGGTTTTAAAAATGTGTCATTAGGAAATGTTATTCCTGCAAGTATGAAGCAAGATGTTATTCCTTTCGTTAGTGAAGAAGATCAAGAGTTGTTGAATAAGTACAGAGTACCTAGTTTTGAAGTACAAGTGGGTTTGCATGAGTTGTTGGGTCATGGCAGTGGTAAATTGTTCAAAAAAGAGGGAGATAAATATAACTTTGACCAGGAGAAAGTTAAAAATCCTTTTAATGGTGAACCTATTACAAAATATTATCTTGAAGGTGAAACATACGATTCAGTATTTGGTGCATTGGGATCATCTTATGAAGAATGCAGAGCTGAAGCAGTTGGTCTTTATCTAAGTTTGGAAAAAGAAGTCATAAAAATATTTGGTTTTGATGGTGCTGACGCAGAAGATATAATTTATGTTAACTGGCTTTCTTTACTTTGGAATGGCTGTGCACGTGCTTTAGAAATGTATCAACCATCTACTAAGAAATGGCTGCAGTCGCATTCACAAGCTCGTTATGTATTACTCAGAGTTTGCATGGAAGCTGGGGAAGATTTCATCAAAGTTGAAGAAACAGAACCAGGCAAAAATTTGAGATTAACAATGGATAAGTCCAAGATTCATACCGTGGGTAAAAAAGCCATTGGAGATTTCTTGAAAAAACTGCAGTTCTACAAAAGTACAGCAGATGTTAAAGCTGCTCAAGCTATGTATGAAAAATACAGCGAAGTTCCGGAAACTGGTTCCCATCCATGGGCTAAATGGAGGAACATCATTCTTGCACACAAGCAACCAAGGAAAATATTTGTCCAATCTAATACTACCATTGATGGTAAGAAATATGAATAAACTTATTTTTTATTTTGTTTTCCAAATTTTTGCATGTAACTAATTTGATTTAATTTATTTTTAGAATCTGGAAACGTTGTATTGAAAAATTACGATGCCACTTTTGAAGGACTTATTCAATCTTGGGTTGAAAGATTCCCATCACCCAGTTCATCTGACAATCTTATTAAACTGTGGGAAAAAGATCAGGATCATTTCCCAATGTCAGCTGTTAAAAATTAACTCACTATTGAATGTATTAATTAATAAAGCATTTATTATTAATTTATGTCAAAATATTATATAGAACTTTTCCTAACGTTTATAATTATAACAAAATATGCTTCTATTGAATTTCACAAAATTGAAAATTATGTATTTGAATAAAATGTTAAATACATAAAATAAACTGATATTATTATTTATTTTCAAAAATAATGACCATTCGATTATGATATTGAGAAACTGTGAACGCAACTTAATTCTCACCCAACCAACTAACCAACCAACGTAAAGGCACTGCGGCAGCGGAATACGCATTCTGCAGTTCGAACTGCAAACCACAAAACATTCAGTACCTTGAAGATTTTGGCGGGAAACTGTCTGCTGTGTCAGTTTTGCAAAAATGGTCGATCGAGACGATTTGCTCGAAAAATTCGAGTCTATTTTAGAAGTAAGCAGTGAAACCCTTGACGAAGAAGTTATTACAAAATGTATGTATTGGTTAAATTTATTTTTTACATCCTTAAATGTAAAATCTAATCTAATTTTATTAACTTTTGAGTAATATCAAGTAAAAGAAGGTTTGAGAAAATTCAAGTTGAGAGAGAATTGTTAAATATTAGCTGTATCCATAATATGTATACTTAACAATATAATCTATTGTTCTTGTAAAACGTGTACTTTATTGGCACTATTAACTATGGATCATCAAAATAATAAATGAAAAGTATGATATAATTCATAATTTAGGTTATGTTAGGTTTATTTTGTTTTGTTCAACTTCTAAAGTACTTGTTTTGCAAATGAATTATTGTGGGTCAATATATTACTACTGAATTTCTTTTTGTTACACTAGGTATGGAACTATGTCTTTGGTATCATGTAGATGCAGAAGAGTTTGTAGATATGTGGGTAGCGTATGGCATAAATCATTTGGATGGGAACTTAACACCTACTGTCAAAAAATTAGAGGAAATGAAACGGGCTACTCCACGTGATAAAAATAAAAAGCAAAATACTTCCTTAAACAAGAGTTCAGGATCGAAAGATACACTTTCCAAATCTTCTATGTCAATGGCTATAGCGTATCCTTTTGTATACATTATGATAGTTTATACATTAATTAGAATCTGTTATTTTTAAAAATATTTCTCTTTGACTAATTTATAGAGATGATGATTTTGAAATATTAGGATTATATGGAGCTACTGAAAAATTAGCAGAAGTGGTAAGTGAAAAACTTTTAATCATTATAATGACACTTGTATTTTAGGCTTTCATTCATTTCTTCTAAATAACTTTTCTCGATTAAATTCTGTACGGAAAATAGTTATTTTGGCTTATATTATGGAGTGAAGAGTTTCTGTTGTTCATTCACATTTGTGTAATTTTTTAAGATGCTAAATTATAAGTTATTTACTATTTGTTAAAAATTAGTTGTTTACAATGAATATGTTTTACAGTGACTGCAAGAATATATCTTACAGTCTCAACTTGAAAAATCAAGTTGGTTCTTTTTATCAAGGCTTTTTATGATTTAAAGAAAAAAAATTGCACCTTGCCAAGAGGCGAGCGGTAGCCACACATTTGTAAATTTTATAGCACAACCACGGTAGCAACAGCTCGCTTCGGTGCGCGTGCAAGGGCTATTTTACTTTTCTGCGTGCACATCACTGCGTGATTTACGTCGACATTCTTTGTGCTCGTCGTTGCGTGGCCCTTGGCTCGCTTGTGCCTCCCAATGCAGCGCGTTGACGTAACAAGGCTTATTTATGCGTTAGCTATTTGTACCTTTGTGCGTACCTGCGGAATATGGAAAATATCTTGTTTTCGCGGAAAAGATTCCTTTTTCTCATCGCTACACAGAGCAATTTTTTTTCTACGCCTCGGCGTTTCCGTGTTCTCTACGGCAGTCAAAATTTTTGGGAATATATTCACATTGACACTGTGTTGAAATTATCTTGACTAAAGTAAATTTACATTTAATATCAGAGTGAAAAATTGGTCGAATATTGCCTTAAAAGTATTTGAGTTCGAACAAATTTTAAAACTAAGTAAAATCGTAAGATTAGATAGTTGAGAACATAATTTCCATTAATTTTTTAAGATAAAAAATAGTAGTGCCTTTGAAATACTGTAGGATAATATAAGTATACCCTATCGGTTGTGAATCACGATTTTGATACTACAATAGATTTCATATAAAAAAAATTTCCTAGAGTCTATTTTCGAGGTCACATCTGTTTGAGGCGACAGTCGACGCGAGCTAAGTTTTGCGGTAAGCAACTAAATTAATTCCTTCTAACAATTTTTCAATCGTTGAATACGTTTTAATGAAATTTATCGCATTTTACGATTGTCTTTCATATCAAATTGATATCATAATTTCGTTAATCGTGCAATAGAATACAAAAAATTAGCCGATACTCTTTGCAGAAATAAAGTAAACAAATGAAACTTTGAGTACCCTCGATACTTTGAGTATGTTACGTAATTAACGACAAATAATAATTTTCGTAATGATTGTAGTTACAATTTATACGATAAATTGGAGTAATAGAACATTTCTGAGATTTACGCGAGTATTAGGTTGTCTCGTTTTACGAGCGTTGCGTGCGTGCCTCTTGTGCTTCGAATTCAACGATGCCATTGTTCCGAGCCTACTCCGTTACGATTAGTAGTTTCTTCGCGCGTTGATGAAGTTGTTCTTGAGTCAGCGAGGGCTTAATGACAAACTTCGTGGTAGATTTCCCGCGTTCGCTGTGACGCCTTATAGTTCGTTCTCCAATTTACTTGTCCATGGATCGGGTACTTAATTTTTCAGTTTTCACTCTCATGAGTCAGATGCGCTTGTGCAATCCTACCTGCCGCTGTATTTAGATATTTTACAATCGAATGGCTATCACATACAGGGTACAAATGTAAATGTTGCCATTCATCGATCGAATCGACTCTCCGCGAGTAAATGAACTCACACGTATGCGTGAGATTTTGTTTTGTGTATTATTCAAAGAAAGTGCGAGAGCGCGGCAAAGCTTCACTCGTATTGTTTGTCTTACTTTGAGAAGCTACAACTGTGTAGCCTGCATAGATTCGTCAATTAGAAGTACCATATAACGAGCGAAGGAAGAAAAGAAGAAAGCCCGTCAAAATTTCTCTCACCGATTTATGTGGCGAAATTATCGATCGACGTGAAAGGGTGAGGTAGTTTCGTTGTATCCCCGTGTCGTATACTCGTATGGATGTACATGGAGCTCGAAAGCTACACGCGCGCACACGGCTATTATGTCAATTAAACGCACGGTGCAGAGAGTCGAATTCTCGCGAACTGGCCGGCCGCCTCGGAGGCACTTGCTCGGAAGAAACTTTGTAGCCGCTGTATAATACGAATCTGGACGTGCAGAGTGTAGGTAGTATGTGTATAAGTGCCACACGGGAGAGAGAGAGAGAGAGAGAGAGCGAAAAAAAGGGAGAGCACAAAGCGAGGCCAGGTCCGGACATTCCGCAGCTCGGAGCCTTTGCAAATTTCGTCAAATTTCAGTCTTATATACATGTACAGTACCATACGCCGTTGATGCACGCACAACCTTGTATTACAAAAGGAGCTACCCCGTGTAGTGCGGGCAGTTAATAGAATAAGCTTCGGCTGTTATTTCGTCGTTGAGCTCTCTTTCTCTCTCTCTTTCTTTCTCTTACTCTCCTCCTCTCTAGTATAGCATCCACTTTCTGTTTTCGTCCGCGCGCTGGGCCTGCACAGGTATAATTCGACCGAGCCGCCGGTGAAAAACACGAATATACACAACGCGCGGCACAGGTTGTAGTACCTACAATACACATGCAGGACCAGATTGTTATCGTTGAGTGTATGTGTTTGTACGTACCTGTGCCCACTGGCCTCTCATTCGTTCTCTTTCTATCTCTCTCTGTCTGTCTCGTTCCAACGCTTTTTGCGTTTCTAACACAAAGGACGAGCAAGAGAAAGAAAGAGAGCGCGGATGTTGCGTGCCTTCGCTGTCCATATAGTTCGCCGCAGCGGCACGCAAACGAATACAGCTCTCGTGGATTGGGTGGACGGAACGAAATAGCTAGATATAGTTACAGCAAATAGTAGAAGAAAGTGCCTAGGCGACGCGCCGAGCTTACCTCAAAAGAGCAAGGACATGGACGAACGTGTCATGATTTTTTGCGGAATTATGTATAGACGCCAATTTTTGCCATCGACACAAGCCCTAAGCAGTCTTACTTATCAACTAAAACTTCTGGCATGGCATTTGGTAATCTTGGTATTTAATAAGCGTGTGATATAAGTTTTGAGAAATAAGGAGATGAGCCCTCCTGTTGAATTATTTCACGTCCCCATTTTTCCTAATCAAGTCGATCCATCGATCAATTTTTCATGCCTCATCGCTGCGCGAGAGATCCTTCAAATTTGACGCTTTTAATTTCACGTGATTTCACAGGCGTGACAAAAAGCGCGTAAGAGCATCGGTCCGTAAAGGCGATTTATTGCTCGAGTAGTTCTCAACTCGTTATTGCCCAATTTACGTAACGGATTTACAGAGTCCACGCGGTAATAATCGAAGCTCCGAGAGTATCGTTAGCGACAGCCTCGGTGATTTCTCGTCGACTTGCAAAAAACAACATGATAATAGAACGGAAAAAAAAATGGATATAACTTTTTACGTACCGAGCATAGAGCTGGAATAGTGTGCAGGGCACAAGAGGAGCTATAGAAAATAACGAGGTATCTATAACTCAACGAGGTAAAAGGGGCAATGTTCCTTCGTGTCTTTATGTATATACACGAAGTGCAACGCGCTCACCCGCGAGACAAAGAGCCCCTCAACTACTACTACTACTACTACTACTACTACTATACACTTGCAACTTATACACACGTATATAGGAAGCTATATAAGAGAGTAAAGAGACATTCGCAGGATAGTTTGGAGCTAGTCAAAGTCTAGTGCTGGGTCGCCTGTAAATCTCGAGCCTAAGCATCCTCGTTGGGCATTGTGACGTGGCCTCCTCATCATGCATACAGGCAGGCAGGCAGGCAGGCGAGCGATTTTTTTCAAAAGGGCATCAGCAGCAGTTATGGGGCATACGGGAATAGACGACGAGCCACAAGCTCGCACACGCACACAAAAGCAATGTGTAGTGTATGTGTAGTACACACGTTCGTAGAGCAAATAATTATTTTTCAAGGACGCGCCGTTATAGAATGGCTTGGTGCCGCTGCCGCCGCCACCGCCGCCGCCATGAGAAAGCGCGCAACAGTTTGTTGCCGCTGCTGCTCTACTCGTGCCGCGTGCTTCGTTCGGTTCCAGCCTATCCGCAGCGAGGCAGCAGGCAGTTTCAGTCGAGACCGCCGAGAGTGCGCGCGCGAACAAAGCGCGCTCGGGGATCCCAACAACGCACGTCGACTACTCCACCATGCCATTGCCGCAGGCCGCCGCACTGCTCAGTACACGAGATAGCAACAGTATAATACATATAATACGAGCAGGCAGAGAGCGCGGCAGCGACTTCGCGGAGTAGGCTCGATCGTGCGCTAAACGGCCGCAGCAGCACACCAACAGTTGTGCGACGCGCGTCCGTTCATTCACATCGCTCGGAGCTGCTCTTTCGACGTCTCCACGCTAGCGGGCGAATCGTGCAGACAGTGTTTCGGGTTTTTCCTCACTTCATGCCTACCACTCGCTATCTATAGTTTTCGGCTGTATCGGATGCGAAGTATAATGCACATAGTTGATCGCGAGTGTGAAGCGCGCGTCCTGATCATCGACGACGACTTCGGGATCGTATTTGCTGCTGTTAATGGTGTTAGAACTTTGGGCCACTGCAACGTCGTGATTCAACAACAGTAACAGCAGCAGCTGCTGCAACTCACAAGCTCCGAGTGCACAAAGGATTTCCACGAGAAAGAGAAAGAGTTTTGTATATAGCACGTACCCCATAGCCATAGTAGCCGTGCCACGGGCACTTATCAACGAGGAAGCGCGACTCTGCGCTTTTCCAGCGTTTCATAATCGACACGCGGAACCGTATTACATTCATTTCGCGTTTCCGGTTTCTTTCTCTCTCTCCCTCTCGCTGTATGTATAATGCGCATGTATAAATGTATTCGTGCGATGCCGACGCGCGCACGAGCATCGCTATTCGCTCTGTATGTGTGCGCGTGTATTCGCTTTATGCATGTCGAGTGGTGTAGCGCACGCTTGTGTT